ATAAGAATAAGAATTTAAAGACTGAACGTAGCAACTTGTGAATGATACTGCATTACCTTAGACATCTGTTTGAAGCTATGCTAAACAGCTGCAATAAGGTGATCCTCCTGCATTCTGCAATGCAATGTGGTTACCAATCATATATACCACACAAATATTTATACCCCATAAATATATAATAACATTGATAATTTAATTGAGTTCTCGAACTAAATGCAGACTCAAAAAGTAGAAAATTGTTATATAATTGCAAATTAGTTTGTACGTTGTTGCCCTTGGCCACAACACTTGACATTTGGCCAAAAATGCTTTAGCCCTGACCGAACCATGCTTGGCTCAAATTGATGGCACCTATGCCATGGCCCATGGGCACCTCGAATCAGAGTTCTCCGTGTTAGTTATAGCCAGAGTGCATCTAAATGTGATATAATATGTGTTACATTGGCAGCTAATGCGACAGATAAACATCTGCTATATTTCTCTTTTCCTCTCTCTCTCTCTCTCTCTTTTGTCTCTTTCTGTGACCTCTTAAGATGAAAAGAGATGTTGACGTTGATGTGTGTGTTGCCCACGCGGCGCCAAGTGCGAAATTGTGAACATATTTAAATTTTTATAGATGTTTAAGCACAACTGTAAATGTGTGTGCTTGTGAGTGTGAGTATGTGTGTGGACATAAGTAGCATTGTAAAATGATGTCTTGCCTTCTATGTGCATACTACATGAGACAAGCTTTGCCGTTTGTTGTTGTTGTTGCGTTTGTTGTCAAAAGCATAAAAATCGATGGCTACAATAACAAAAATAACTGGCCGTCACAGCGCAGCTTAGCTAAGCCGCTGCGCGTGTGTGTATACATGTGTATATGAGAGAGAGTGAGAGAGACAGAGAGAGGAGGGCAAGGGAGCAATGGAGCGCATTAAAAGCCCAGCTAAATAGCAACAACATTTACAACAGCAACGAGAGCAGCAGCGTCTGCAAAACGGCAAGAGCAACACGAAACCAGACAAAAGGCAAAACAGCAATTAGAAAGTCCAGTTGCCACCAGTGGTCACTGTTGGCCAATGTACAGTAATATGCGTGAACTAAGTTTATACAATATAAATGCAAACAAATGAGTGACAAATGGACTGCATCAACAGCGGCAACAGTAGGCTGTGAGGTAATTCTGTTAGGCCATACGCTGAGATCGCAGTCGGCGTCGTTGCGCGTTGCAGCTGCAGTCGTAGCTGTGTCATTAACCACAACAACTTTTGCGGGCACGTCAATGGGGGCGTGGTTTACATTGATTTATTTCTATACCATTGCCCTTGAGTACATTGTACAGGGTATGCCTAAAAAGGTCAATCATAAAATCTGAATTAGTCTATTGATCATTATATCAAGAACTATGATTAACTAGTTCTCAGCAACTCAATACGTTACAAATATTCGTACTTATCGATTGGGCAGAAGCCATCGATAAGTGAATATAAAAGGATTGTCTTATGCATTTTCTATGCTATTTATTTAATGTTATCAATTTTTTTATTGCAGAGTATCAGGTTTCTCTGCCACTCCGTCAGTCCTACTTGGTTTAACATGTTTCTGTTATTGTTGTTGCCAGCGCAAAGCAAAAGTTCAAAAACATTTGAAATGTTTGTCAATGGAAAGTCGAAAATTAGCAAAGCGTGAATTACAATTAAAAACAGACACAACTACTTTTACATATCGTGTAAGCATTTCAATTAAATACGGATCGCATGGTCTTTAGAGCAATTATTAGTAGTTTTCTACTGCCATATTTTCAAGTGTTCTTTGAGGCCCCGAAGTTGCTTATCTTCACTTTTCCATTTCTTGGCATTGACTATGGAATCTGATAAGATAAGTCTACTCACTATTTGTTCTATATTGAATTTATCAATTGCAAATGCTTATCAAGTCTCTCATTACCCTAGGAATGTGTGTTTGTATGTGTGTGTTCTACGATTTTAACGGATTTTGGTGCAAAAAAAAAAAAAAGAAGAAAATAAGGCTTTGTCAATATGTCAAAAATTACGAATGGCCGATTCATTATTGACTTAAAGAGCCCAAGCAATCGGGCTGATAGCGGGCTTTTAAAGGTCTACAATAACATTTATAAATATTCCATGCCAAATATTTCGAATGACACAAAAACCAAGAGGCAAACGCTGTGCACATACATATCTAATATTACCAAGGTTCCGTCCGTTTCGTCGCATTTAATTGGCACAGCGCATTTCGTTATTTGGGTGTTACTTGAGCTGCCACCCGCAGGAAATGCTTAATCAAGCTGCATATGAAATAATGCAGTGAAGCCTCAATACAGTGGAAAACATATAGGCAATCTATGCATCGTATGTTAAAATATATAAAATATTATTATATATGTATAATATTTGCATGATTATTCAACCAATCGTTTATTCCTATATAGCAATATATATATATATTGTATTTATAAAATAGGTCTTTTTTTTTTTTAGATTGAGATATTTATAGCTTTTTATTGCTTATTATGTTTTTTTTTTATGACAATATTCAATAGTTTTTGCATGATTACATCACTGTACAGTGCAGCTACGTTATGAGGAACCAAAAACAAAATTAAAATAATCTAAAACTGCTTTGTCATAAATATTTTTACAGATTTTCTCTTATATTAAATGAAATGTAAAATCGACCACTTATCACGAGGATGGCCCACTGTAGTTATTTATGTGTGTGTGCGTGACACACTACAATGTCGATGAGGTGACGATCGGCAAGGGTCGTCGAGTTTCGAACATTAATCACAGCGAATAATGTGTGAATGTCCCACATGCATATATCTGTGATCTACATAGGTTCGATATACGGACATCATACTTGACACTTGACTCACCTGACACTTTCTACCCAACAGCCTGAATACGGCTTCGTTCTCCTCCTGGGTCAGTTGACTACTGGACGCATTGTTTTTGGGCCGCGGCAGCCCGGCTGCCTGCTGACCCTGCGACTCCTGTGACCTCATGCTGCTCGTACTAATCATTTAGGCGGCGGCGCAACGGCTGTGCTGTGTATATTGTATATTATGAATACATTTATTAAAAAACAGCAACTCGATAACTCGCACAGTAACGGTAAAACGAGACAAGCGTATTAATTGAATAAGCACCAAACACACACAGTGAGCCTCAAATAAAACGAATCACAGTTATGGCGAATATGTGTTCAACTGGATTTATTAATAACTTTTTTTTTTTGCTTTTTTGTTTTTCTTCAATATTTGAATAAAAGACGCAGCAACAGCGGCGCAAAGATAGCAGAGACTAAAGACTATTGTAATACTTAAGGCAGAGGTAGGGCAGAGGCAACGGCAGCGACAGTTAACGCCAATGTTGAGTCACAGTTGGCCAGCTGTGTACAAAACGTGGGCAAAGGCGCTTGCTCTGTCGCTGACTTCAATATTAGCTGAATGCGCTCTGGCTGTTATCTTTGGCAATACCACAGTCACTGATTAGGCTACGCATGTATCTATGTTTGTGTGTATGTGTGTGTTGGTAGTTATTTAACAAATACAAAAATGGGTTCACTTTAGGCATGCAATAAAACTCGACGCTGCGCTGCCAACTGAAGATGTCAATGACAATATCGATGACAACAGCAGCATCAACACCACCACAGACAACACAACAACAACAACAACACCTGTCTGCTCCAGGTGGGGTAGCAATGTAAATAGACGCTTGAAAATCTAGCAGACAGCAGCCCTAACTAACTGTGCACACCCGTGTCTCAAGGTCTTTTAACACTCAAGCTGCATATTGCGCACATAAACAATCATTGATTTTTTTATTTTTATTTTTTACACATATTCTTGTTTGTCACTTTAGCTCACTCGTTGCTGTTGCTGCTTTTCGCTGCCTTTAGTTGGCTTGTTTTTTTATTTTAATAAAATATCTTAAAATACCAGCACAGTGTGACCGCAGAATGAAAATAGCAAATTACAGAAATTAGAGTTGCCTAAGCTGTGTATGCTAGCAATCGCTATCGATGAGCCCATGCAAAAGAGTCCCAGGCCGTCAATAAGAAAATCGATACTCCGCCGTACAACCGCAACCGTTATTTTGAGCGAAATATTTGAAATTTTGCTGTTAATTATTTAATACATTGAATCATTTACAAATGCATTTTCGCACGCTGTCTGTTTATATCAATTATGCTTATTGTCTGAATCGGTAGAATATTTGTCGTTGATTGCTTTCACCATATTACAGGGTATCAAAGTTGCCAGAGAGTAGGATAACATGACCAATATACCCTTTATGTAGACCTCTTCCCCAATACGTTTATGCCGAATTGCAAACATAATAATTTTTGTTTTGTCGAAAAGCATTTCGTTTTTATTAATATATATGTGTATATATATGTTTAATAAGAATTGTAAATGGGCTTAAATCAAAGCTAACTACAAATCGCCAAGTTCTCGGGTTCAATACGAATTCGTCCAAATCCGAATGCAAATACGCTTAATCCGACTAAAGACTTTAAAATTATGTTTAAAATATAAAAGCAGTGACTATCAATATGTTAAATTAATCATTCTCAAAGTAATATTTGGTTTGCAGAAAGGAAGCCGACGGCTAAATACGCTAAGTGTATATAAAATTGTTTTTTCGTATCTTTGATTATAATTTGCAGAGCGTTTTAATTAACAAGTCGTAACATACATATAAACCTTATATAACCGCTTTAAATTACCTTGGTTACAACTTGAAATGTCGTATGACATATATTGATATATATCTTTAGTAAGTAGTTATATGGGGTATATGGTTGTACACACTTGAGAAGGCCCGAGAAAATATCTAGATTAATATTATTATGCAATACATTTGGCTACACACGAACTTGGAGCCGAATTCAAGACGCTCTTCGTTTCTGACTGTGAATTGGATTAGGTTGTTTCTAGGCCTAACAAATCTAGCATAGGATATATATAGTTATAAATATATATATGTATATATAAATATATATACTCTATAGGTATGTAAGACATATATAGTTCTATATATAATAAACTTTCTTTGATTCTGTTTCCATATGAAAATGCAAGACGGGATTCGCTTTGTGCGTTCGTTTCTATTTGCGCACTCCTCCAATGGGCAGCCGGGAGCGGGCAGCTGCTGCAGTTGCTCCAGATGCTTGACTACCGACTGCCGCTGCATCCGGCGGCGTATTGTCGAACGTGGAGCTGCGCAAGAGCGTGGGCCGCGACGCATTGCCGTTCAGCGTATTGGAAGACTTCGTTTGTTGCGTCCTCAGATTGGATATTTGCTTGGTTTTTGTCGTCTTGGTTTTTGCCTCATCCACCCGCTTCCAGATATTGGCAATGCGACTCTGCGCCTGGTTAATTTTGACGGCCGCCGCCGACGCAGCTGCCACGGCAGCACTGCCACCATTCAAATTCGAATTGCTTCGTGAGGGCGGAGTCGTGCTGGATATTCGATTCGCTTGGGCGGCCACGCGGGAGGCAGCCGCTGCCTTGGCACTGGCCAGGCGTATATTGGTATTGGCACGTTGTTGCGGTTTCTGTTGTGGCGGCAGCACGCGAGGCGCTGCTTTGGCTATGATCCGTTTGGGTGAGGCTGCCTTCGCTAAGGTCTTTGTTGTTGCTGCTGCTGCTGTTGTTGGCCGCTTTGTGGGCAGCTTGGATGCGCGTTGCGTGGGACTTACTGGCTCCACGACAGGCACCTGTCCATTAACATTAGTGGGCTCATCCTTGACGAAGGTGCCCTGCCGCTCCAGACGCGTGGCTGCCGGTGGCGGAGTTGCCTTCTTCTTGGCCGGCAGCCGCGTGCTAGGCAGTGCATTGCGCTTAGCTATGGTTGGCGATAGCGTCTTCGTCTTGGCCTTGGCAGCAGCAGCGGCTGCATTGCTATTACGCTGACTCTGCATGCTGTAGGGCGAGATGTAGGCAGGCTTCTTGCGTCCCCGCACCACCTTGACAGCAGCTGCAGGCTCCAGGACAGGCGGCTGTGGCGGCGGAGTCGTACGCTTCAGCGTGAGCTCTTTGGCCACTGGCGGCGACTGGCCGCGTCCGTGACACGATTCCGTCTCGGAGTTCTGATCGCCGTCACAGCTGGGCGGATCATCAGCCGGAGCGTGCGGCTCGGGTGCTTCGCTGGAGTTTCCAATGTCAATGTCTGTGATGTAGGTGAACTGCTGCATCATGGCGCGCATGGAGGACAGCTGATCACTGGGGCAATCATCCTGCAGAAGGTGGAGCGGGCACTCAATGACCTGCGTCTTGTAGCGTTCGGCACTGCCACGTCGTCGTCCATTGGCACGGGGCGATGGCGTCGCTGGGGCCACTGCAGCAGGCACAGCCTCCACAATCTCAATCTGCAGCGTTTCATTGGGCTCCACAATGTCCATGGCGTTGCCCGTGATGGTGTAGGTCTTGTAACGATCTTTGGCCAGACGACGCTTCTGCTTAGGCGTGAGAGTGCGACGATTCGGCGAAGGTGTCGAGCCCTGCTTGGGAGTTGACTCCGCGGAGCTAAATTCATCGTTCATGGTGGCGTCCTCCTCGTCATCGAAGTCACAGCAGCTCTGGAGCACAGTCAGTGTCTGGTCGTCACCAGCGGCCGTCTCGTAATTGGATACCGATATGGTGGTTGCCATGCTGCACTCCTGCTCAACGTCCGCCACCTCCGACTGGATGCTGTCCACGCTGATCATCGAATCGAGCAGCTCGTCCATGAGTGACGGCGGCTTTATGTTGTCCAGTAGGTTGCAGCTGGAGTTCACGCTCTCGGCACTGCCCGCCAACTGGCCAAGCGCACGTCTGGCCACCAGACCGGCTGGAAAGGCCTTGCGTCCAAATCTTGGCGATTTGGTTGGCAGGGCCAGGCGCAACGAGCTCGGCTGCGTATTGCAGGCAGAGTTCAGCGACTCCATGCCCGATGGTGGACGCACATTGTCCAGATCCAGGCTGCCATTGATGCTGAATGTCAACTGGGTGCTGTCATCGTTGTGCTCATTGCTATCGGGATCGGACGCCTGCAGCTGCTGCAGATTGTCGGCCAGAGCTCGCGCCTCGTACGCAATCATTGTGGAGTTGGTCATCATGGAGGCGCTTGTGCCGTTGAATAGCAGCAGCCTCTGTTGCTGCTCGCAGCTGCGCGCCGCAGCGCTCTGCACCTGCCCGCCCAGCTGAAAGTTGAGGCCGGACGACAGACTCTGCTGACTCTGCTCGGGCTGCTCGGTGAGCGTGTCGCTCAGAGTGTGACTATCCAGGGAGTTGGGCTGCTGGAAGTTGGCATCACCGTTAACCACACCCAATGAGCACAGCAGTTGCGTCTCATTGGTGGGCGTGATTTCGGCAAAATCATGCAAATCCTGCGCCTCTGTAGCATCCGCATCCATATCATCCACATCAGCATCATCCAAGCTGAGTGCACCCAACACAGGCGCAGTTTGGCTAATGCTCGGGAAGGACACATCATTGGGACAGGTGTGCTCGTTCCAGGTGTTGCCCTGACTGTGACTGTGACTATGGCTCTGACTCTGACTGTGATTGTGATTGCCCGTGCGCAATTGCTCCGCGGATGTCACAAACTCCAATGTGAGACGCTCCACAGATTTGAGCATTAGATCGGGATCCTTGTGCTTGTCCGCCGTTCGTGGCCGGCTGTCATCCGGGATCTCGTCCAGCCGCACTGTGGTGTCCAGTATCAACGACTGATTCGACTCATCGCTGGAACGATCCGCATCGTTATCCCCCAGGACTATTTTAGACCCAGTAACGATCGCGTGATCGATCGTGTTCACGATCTCTGGACTTGGAGCTGGACTTTTTGCTGCGTCTGTGTCGATGTCGATGCCGTGCCTGGGTGACTGATGGCTCTGCTGGCTGGCCGGTTGGCTGTTGTGACGGGTTGATGGTGCGTGCGATTTCTGCTCTACGTCTGGAGCTGCTGCTGCTGCTGTGCTGTGGACACTTGCTGATGTAGTAGCCGCCATTGGGTGACACGGTTCCAATGCAGCTGCAGACGTAGCCTGCCCGTTTTTTGGCACGGCATTTATTTTCTTCGAGATGCCCGTATTGATGCACTCCAGCAGCAATTTCTCATCCTTGCGCTCGCGCTCTCGCTCCCGCTGATGCTGATGATGATGGTGGTGATGATGACGCTGCCGCTTCGACTGCACTGGCAATTGCACGGGCAGCGAATCAAATTGCTTCAGATTGGGATTTGAGTGTGCCGCTGATTGCTGCTGCTGCTGCTGCTGTAACTGTAGCTGCTGCGATCTGCTCGGCTCCTTGGATTTGTACATGCCATTCAAAATGCACAGCTCGAATAGCGACTTGGACTGATTGTCATTCGAGTCGCTGGAGTCCACCGAGCTGTAGGATTCCTGTTGCACCGTCTTGCGCGCACTCATTGCCGAATTCAAGGAGCACGCCGAGGTGGCCGCATTGATGGCTATGGGCTGAGACGACGAGCACAGCGAGCTGGAGCGTTTGCTGCTCGTTGCGCTCGTGCCGCTGAAGCCCAGATTCGACTTGGGTCTATTGCAGCCGGCGGCAATAGCCTGCTTGAAAACAAATCGGATTAGCGCACATATTTAATATGATATTCCATTGCGCTCACCTGACTCAGCAAATTGGTGTCATCCTCGGAGTCAATGGACAAAGAGCTCAACGAATCGTCCTGCCACTGCGCCGGTCGATTGACTTGCTCCTGGGCTGGCTCCTGGCTCTCTGACTTCACGGCAGATGCATCGACACTGCTGAACAGGATATATTCACATTTGTTAGTCATTTGACATCACCTCATGGGCATCTGAGCAACTCTGATCCTGAGCATTTCAGTCATACTTCACCCACACTTACCCAGTTGTTTCCTGCAGCTGCACCGCAGGTCCGACCAGACTGGAGCCCACGGTTAGATTGGACAAACCGGACACAACCGAGAAATTGCAGGGACTGTCCTCCACCAGATATTTGCTCATCTCATCGCTGACGGGCAAATAGGTGGGGAGCATGTTGCCACCGCGGCGCAACATTGCAATGGGATCCTCGTTAAGAGGCGCCGCTGGCATCGGACTGGGCTTCTGCATGCCGTCGCGAATGCACTGCTGGAGCATGGCAGCGGCTCCAGCGCCGCCGCCACTATCGGACGCATTGGAGGAGACGTCGTCGGAGAGATTGAGGGAGCAGCGCTGTGGCTGTGTTTCAGCTGTCGAGTTCATGGATATGGCCGAGAGATTGGTGTTGCTGCCCACCTTGGAGAGCAGAGCGGGCGTGTCCTCGGTGCAGTAGCTGCGTGTCGTCTCCTCTGCAGAGGCTGCTGCAGCTGCCGTTCCAGTTCCCGTTGCACTGCCTGCAGCTGCCGCTGCGCTTGCAGTAGCAGGACGCTGCATGCCCATGTTGATGCAGCTGGCCAGCAGCAGCTCATCCTCCTTGTCGACATCGTTGTCCTCGCCCATGGGCTTGTCATCGTCTACGATGCTCAAGTTGCTCAGGCTGGTGGCGCCGGAGAACTGCGCGGGCGTGTTCTCCACATTGAATTTGCTCAGATCATCCTCGAAGACGCTGCGCAACGGCTGCTGGCGTCGACCACTGCCAGGAGGCAGGGCAACGCTGGCGCCTGCTACGCTGGTTCGCCTTGGCGACTGCGGCATGCTCTGTGTGGGCGAGTCGGGCAGCTCTGAGGGCGAGATGACACCGCTGGCTAGGCGACTAAAGTCGCTGACCACCGAGCTCTTGTCATCGCAATTGGCCACATCCACGTCCAGGGAGTCCATGGAGCTGCGTCGAGAAAACATCAGCGGCGTCTCGAGCGCCGAATTGGTTTTGGCTGGTGTTGGCTCCTCCTGCGGCTGCACCTCTGGCTGCTCTGTTTGCTGCTGCTCCTCCAGTTTGACCGACTTGCCGTCTGCCTTTGGAGCCGATTTGCCAGGCTCATCCAGACTGCTAAGCGAATCGTAGCGACTGAAATAGCCGGGAGTGCCTTCCTCACAGTAATTGATGGGTTTCTCGGGCGTGTAGGAGCCAGAAGCCAGAGCCGAGGACAGCTTAGAAGATTGCTGCTTAAGGGGCGCCTGCGGTTGCGTCAAGGAGCTCTCCTCCACGCCGCTTGGCTTGATGATCGCCTCAGCGGGTGGCGATGAGGCGGCATCCGCTTCAGCTTCCGCTTTGGCCGCCTGGCGCAAGTCCGTGACAGACGCCGCATTCGATATGACATATGGCGTATCCTCGGTCTGATAGCATTTGACACTGTCATCTAGCATGAGCAGGATCTCCTGGCCCTCGCCCGATGCCTTGGCACTCGGTGCACAGCCCACGGCGGACTTCATGTCCGACTCCAATTGATTCTCCGCATAGCGCAGACTGAAGTCCGTGGGCTGATCCAAATCCGTTTCCTGATATGTTGTTGCTTTGCCGCTGCTATTGGCCGCTCCTTCGCTATACTTGGCCGAATAGTCAATGGGCTGTTCCTCTGTGGCCTCCACATCGTGCTCCAGCTCCAGCTCAAAGTTGCCCTGCCTCTTGGCCGCATCTGAGCGCATCAGATGCTCGTAGGCCGTGTCCGACTTCGCCGAATAGACAGAGTCACGGCTCTCGCTCTTGGTCAGCAGGGCGGAGCGCGACAGACGTGTGGGAGCCGGATGGCGTCGCACCTTATGGGAAATGACGCTCGTGCCGATGCTATTATTATTGTTATTGTTGTTGCTATTGCTAGTGCTGTTGTTGCTCTCCAAGTTGTCACAGGTCTCGGCATGCCGTTCGCCCAGCTCCTGCTGCAGCGCCTTCTGTTTGCGCGCCTTCAGCGTGGGCAGCTGCTTGAGACCCATGGAGCGGGCAATCGGATCCAATTGATCCTGATTCTGCACAGCGGGCCGAAAATTCAAAAGATTCTTCAGCGCCGATGAGCTGCCCTCCGAGATCATGGCATGCTTGGAGTGTATCAACGAGCGCAGCATCGGCACCGCGCCATTATCCCATAAGAACTTCTGATCCTCCGGACAGCGTGCGGACAGATTCCACAGAGTGCCGCACGAGTTGCTCACAACAGTCAAGCTCTCCGACTTGAGCTGCTGCAGCAGGATGGCCAGGCAGTTGTGCTGGCGCAAGATCTGGCGATACGGCTCACACACGGCTATGTGGCTGGAGACATTGCGCAGAATGCCGCCGGCATTCTCGATGATCTTGAGGGTCTTGCTGGGCCCCTCATAGCTGAGCATGCCCACCAGGAAGGCGAGGGCGCCCTCAACGGCACAGAACTCCGCCTTGTTGGTGCTGCAGTGGGCCGAGAGGTTCCACAGTGCCGAGAGGATGGCCTTCAGCGTATTCTCGCTCTTGTTGCGCATGGCCGCCCTGGCCAGTGCCGTCACAGTTCCGATCTCGTTGAGCACCGCCTTCATGTTGCTGTCCGCGCGCCAGGAGAGATTGCGCAGCACACTGGCTGTCACCTGGAGCAGATCGTCGGGTCCGCTCGTGTCCAGCTGGGCGACCAGCGCCTCCATGAACTGCTTCTGGCCGCAGAGCAGCGCCTTGTTGTTCTCATCGCCGAACGTGAGATTGGTGAGCGCCATCAGCGCGTAGCGTCGCAGCGAATTGCAGCACTGATCCTCCGGCTTGGGTCCGTGCACGGCATGATCCAGGTGCACCAGATTGGGTATCACCTGCAGCGCGCCCAGCTCGCACATGGCATGCCGATGCTCCTCGTCGAAACTGACCTTCATTAGGGACGATATGGCCGCCAGCGGATGACGATCGGAGTCATCGGCTATGGCCTCGCCGCCGCTCTGCAGCAGCGTCTTCAGGAAGTTGCAATAATCCACTATTTGGTCGAGCAGGCGCAACACCTTCGCCTCCCGCCTGCCCGCCTTTTCATCCGGGTGACTGTGCACCACATTGTGCAGCGCGAGGCTGGCGCACTTGCGCACCTCCTGCTCGTTGTCCGGCGCATGCATCATTTGCACCAGCAGCGGCATGCAGCCGGAGCGACGCAATGTGGCACAACTCTGACTATTCGCGGACAGTTCGAGAAACTTTTTCGACATCTCCAGAGGATCGTTGGAGCCCAGCATAGACAGCAGCGAGTAGACACACTCCACCTTGGCGCCCAGCGTGGCATCCACGTCGCTTGTGCTCGTCCAGGCGGTGCCTTTGGGTAGGCGTGGCAAGGGCGGTGGCGCCGCATCAGCATCTAGGAAGCGGGAGAGCGTATACGAGGGCTCCTTGCTACGCGAGGCCCGACTACCCACACTTGTGCCCATTGCCCCGGCTCCTACTCCTGCGGGTGAGCCCAGACGCTGAGCTGGCAGCAGCTCCTTCTGCTGTTGTTGCTGCGCCGACTGCCGCTCGAAATTTCGATCCAGGCTGCGATGCTCGCGCAGCTCCTGTGCCAGCATATAATCAGGCGGTATAGGATTCTCATCCAGAAAGTGCTTGGCTGGTTTCTTGGCGCCAGCTGCGCCGCTGCTGTGGGTGTAGTGCAGCGTATTATCGTCCTGGGTGAACTCCTTCTTGGTATAGCCACTGGCGGCCAGCTCGTAATCGCTTATCTCGCCATCCCGCTCGAATTTCTTGTCCATTTTCAACTGCTCCCCAGCGGCAATTCTATAGCCATAGTTCTCCTCATAATCGGGCGGCGCAGCAGCATCATAGTCTAAGAAATGTGGCTTACGCTCGGGCACAGCATCCACGTCGACRTCGACATCCACATCCACATCCGCATCCGGATCAACATCGATATCGGTGTCATCTAGGCACACGCCTGCCATGCCCAACACAATGCTATCCTGGACACCGCCATTCCCCTCCAGCTCTGATGCGAGCGTTGGCTGCAGCATGTTCACAGCTCCCGACTAGATCTGGTTTGGTATTCAAAGCCAAATGCCAGAGTCAATGCGCCATGCCCTGCAATTACGAGTGAGAGGCGTTGGTTATAAATTTCAAGATGAGTTGGCCGATCAGCTGGGCGTCGAGGCGTCGCTCTTCTATTTATAGCTACAGCTACATATATATGCACATCTATCTCTATATATACGCACACACACATACATATACATGTATATACGAATAGCCTGCCCACCACCGGTTGGCCAAGTTGGGCCCTTGAGCGAGACGCTGGCAGCTGCAGCTATTGAGACTCCAGAATATCAGGTGTAAGCTCAAGTGTGCGGTCTATAACAGGTAATAAACGACTCAACTACGAGCTGTCATAGGCAACAGCTATGAGATACCCTTGAAAACTAATATGAGCAAATAGTTTATAGTTGACTCTATGGGGGGGCTAGAAAAATATTTTAGATATATGTACATATCATACTCTCTCTTGCATTCCTTCACTTGCTATCCCTCTTTTCCTTTATGTAAAATTGCCTCTCTAGCTTTCCTTTGGTTTTTCCTCATTCCCTCTCTCTCTCTTTCTCTCTCTCTCTCTTTCTCTCTATCTCTCGCTCTCTTTATCTATCTTATTCTCTTATGTGTCTCTCTTTCCGGTAACTCTCTCTAATCAATACGGACTTTATATGCAAATATTCTCCAAGAATATTTCAAGCATAGAAGCTTTGAAAATCATACATATACAACATGATAATACATATGTACATACATACATATGTATATATTATGCAATTAACAAAATGGAGGTATGGCTTAATATACCCTACCTAGGAGCTACCCAGTGCTAATATATAAGTTAATACAATCATTATGATCATGATTGTGATCGTAATTAGCTGGCGCTGCATCTATTTTTTATTTTATTTTTTTTTTAGAAAGTTAGCGGAATTTCCAGTGCATGAAAAAGATACAGATGCGTTTTCAGCTGCATAATTTCATTGTTGTTGCAGTTGTTGTTATTGCTGTTGTTGTTGCTGTTATATTTCTCATTTGAGCTGCCGTTGAGTTATGCGCTTTGCAATTGGCGACTGCATTTCTGATGGCAGCGGCGCATGCGCCGTATAATTGGATATATGCGTAAGCACACTTATGTATGTATGTATATGAGTATACACATGTATGTATGCGTGTGTGTGACACGGTTAAATTTTGTATTCTCATGGATAGAGCTGCTTAGCTTGTGCATTGTGGCACCCTAAACATATATCATATATGTATGTATGTGCTTCAGGCTCCAATTGGCAAATTCATCAAAAACTAATTTGAAAATAGAATGTAGTCTTCCAATTGGACGGAAATGAATGGCAGAACAGTAATCATTCGCAATATAGATCATTTAATTGGGCTACAATTGTCATTCGGAATGTATTGAACGCTTTTAATACATTATAAACTTTTCTTTTTAAATTATTTTGAATAAATTAAATAAAATATGCATAAAATAATTCAATTTAAAATATACTTTACAAAATATATTATTTATGACGAATTTTTCTTGATTAAAGTTAACTAGAAAATGTGGAAGTGGTTTTTAGTGGACAATCACTGTACACGTATATTACGTATACCATTCTAATAAGCACCGCGAAACCCTGTCCAGTCGTATAAATATGGATATATATATACATATATATGTACGTATATGTGTATATATGTATGCAAGTCAATAAATGATTCGCTTACTCAACCCATGTGCGACCCTCTTTGAAATATAATACGTAACTATACAAATTCGGAGCAGCCTGATAAGAAACACTTTCTGATAAATGGAGCACATTCTTTGTGTGTAATGTAGAATGATTGTGTGTGTGAGTGTGTGTGTGTGAGTGTGTGTGTGTGCGTGTGTGCATATTTACGTATATATGTACATAGCCGGCATTTTAGCATATCGAATGAATCAACAGTTCATCAATTAGTCAAGCCTAAGCAAATGTAGTGTATGTACGAGTATGTATATGCATACAATGTATGTATGTATATTTTTACTTATTGTTGGCAAGTATCACAAGGAATTCGTATGCGTCACTTGTCTAGTCGGGCGCCGCTTCTCCCGCTGTCTTGCGTGTCATTAACCGACCAGCTAGATGTACACATGTATGTACATATATGTATGTAAATATATATACACTCACACTTACATCTGCGAAGACCACAAAAGGAAGCGACGTTTTGGCTTGGCACACATTTTGCATACCGAAAATCCAAACAGCAGAACTATCGCCAAAGCAGTATACGATTGAAGATTGAGAAATGAGATGGGCAGACAACAGGCATTAAAAGAGATATGATGGAAGTATGCGCAAAAATACCACAAATAATATTATGGCAAGCAAGCCTGAACTTAAATACTCTCTCCAACTCTCTTTAACTTGTTATACAAAACAGAAGAAAAAGTTGATGTGCATAAGTAGACACAAGACAGATATTGTTAACAATAAATACGATACATAAAAGTTTATAGATACATATATCTTGTAATCATAATATTAAAATATATATTGAAATATGTAATACTATATCGCCAAATATTTTAATATTGGATGTTATGATACCAAGGGAATGATCGTAAAAAAACACTATAATAGTTTCCATTTTCTTCTTTTTTTAAGAAAGTTGTTTCTTATATTCACAAACTTGTACATAAATTATTTATAGAGCTACCATGTCACAAGCTCAAAGACAATACTTAAGTACTTTCCGTGCCATAATAAAAGTACGCGCCCGTTCCCATAAATATGAATGTCGGCATATACATGTACACAAACACATGCAAATTCATATATGTATGCATGTGTGTATGCGCATGCCAGTATGTGTTATTTTAATGAACGTCTTTCGCTTCTGTTTTGTTGTTTTCATTTAGTTTTCGTCTTGTCCAGTTTTTCTTTTTGCAACCAAAGATCATTATTATGTAAAAGGAAGCAAAGTAAAAGGGAAACTAAATACTTTAACTAAGCAAGTATTTGGTTTAACTATTTCGCGACTGTCGCTCTTTCGACCAAAACAATTAAACACAAAATAAAAACAAAAGCAACAAAAGCGAAACCCCCAGAGCATGCATAATAAATAAATACATATGTACATGTGAATACGCATACAAATGCGAGCAGTTACAATGCAGACGCAGTGGTTAATTATGGTAAACAAGAGTGGGAAAAAATGACCATAAAGAAATGAAAACTTATCAATTAGCTGCGCTACATTCACTTTGTAGCACTAACAGCAAGAAAAACAAAAAAAAAAAAAAAAATTAAGAACAAGAACATCGCTCGCACAGGCTATGCATTTGATAAAGGAGCCTGCAGCTTGAAAAGACAATACAGATGCATAAAGCATACACCCACACACGGCGCAGCCGCTTGCGCACTCACACACGTTTCTGCTCACGCTCATACACACACACGTATACGCGCGCCAATTGGATTTTATTGATTTTTCCTGTAAACGGAATATGCACGGAAATGAAAAACGCCAAAATAAAACTAAAAACTTGACAATTATTTAATTGGTCTTAGTTAATAAACTTGCCATAAGAGCGTGGGCTATAACTATAAGGTTTTTTTGTTTGATTATTTTCGTTGGCTTGGCACATACACACAACAAATAAAGAAGATTTTATTGTGTCTCCCACACAGCGACAATTTAGTTAGTGCATACCTTGACCAAAAGTTCTAAATGGCTCGTAACAGCTGCTGAGTTGAGATTAGACACCTTTCATGCTTTATCTTAGATGTTTACTTTGAGCGATTGCATTTATTTATAAATCTTACACATTTCGCGATAAAAACAAATAATAGCGGACGTACTTTTTAATCTGGATTTACGACAATCGTCCGTGCGTAGCGGTTTTGTGTGGCACGACCAATTCTTATTGGTGATATACTAGTGATGGACTTTTTAATACCGATAGTAAATTAACATTGCATCCAACTGTTATTAGCATTGGTAGGTGGGGATGAAAAATACCAAATTTTAAATGCTAAATGTTAATTTTATCAGCTGCTAAAATCTATAAGTTGATATTCAAAAATATTCAATTTACTTTAAAGTAAATATACATATGCATCGTTAGATACAAATTAAAAATATAGAAAGCTACTCTACAGCATTTGGAAATTTGGAGTTACTATAATACATAATATATTTTTACCAAACGAAATTTTTAGAAAATTGTATACAAAAACCGCCCAAAATAGGCAAGAAACCTATCGAAATCGATAAATAAGAACGAAACAAAGAATCCTATTGTTATCGCAACTGAGTAATCGGTGGCAGTCAGTCGCAATAGCAAACATCGAATAAAAAATATATATTAAAATCGGAAATCATTTGTATATTGACTTCCACTGCTCGTAAATACTCCACACAGTGAAACAATGGAACAAATGGACGTTGATGCCGATATAAATGCCCAGCCGAGTACCTCATCATCAGCGGCTGCATCTGCAGCAGCTGGTGATTCCGCCGGCACCAAACAGCCGCAAATCAAAGGCAATATAATGGCTGCGACGGGCACGATTGCGTCGGTAACGATTTCATTGCATCCATTGGTCATCATGAATATATCAGAGCACTGGACACGCTTCCGGGCACAGCACGGCGAGTCGCGCCAGGTGTACGGCGCACTGATTGGCAAACAGAAGGGTCGAAATATTGAGGTGATGAATTCGTTTGAGCTCAAAGCCGATGAAATTGCGGACGAAATAATCATTAACAGAGACTATTACAACAAAAAGGAGCAACAATACAAACAGGTTAGTTTAATCATTATAATGTATTAGTAAATTATTCAGATATAAACGTATTGATTTGCAGGTGTTCAGCGATCTGGATTTCATTGGCTGGTATACAACGGGCGATAGTCCGTCTGCCGGCGACATAAAGATTCAAAAACAAATAGCCGAAATTAACGAGTGCCCAATCATGCTACAGCTGAATCCGTTGCCACGCAGTGTCGATCAGTTGCCCGTGAAACTTTTCGAATCGCTCATCGACCTGGTCGATGGCGAGGCCACCATGCTCTTTGTTCCGCTTACCTATACGCTGGCCACCGAGGAGGCGGAGCGGATTGGAGTGGATCATGTGGCGCGCATGACCACGAATGAATCGGGCGAGAAGAGCGTCGTCGCCGAGCATCTGGTGGCCCAGGACAGTGCTATCAAAATGCTAAATGCTCGCATCAAAATTGTCTTGCAGTACATTAAAGATGTCGAAGCTGGAAAACTGAAGGCGAATCAGGAAATACTTCGAGAAGCGTATGCCCTATGCCATCGCCTGCCCATCATGCAGGTGCCCGCCTTCCAGGAGGAGCTTTACACACAATGCAACGACGTCGGCTTGATCAGCTACCTGGGCACGCTGACCAAGGGCTGCAACGACATGCATCAGTTCGTCAACAAATTCAATATGCTCTACGATCGCCAGGGTTCGTCGCGTCGCATGCGAGGACTCTATCCCTAAGTAGACATCTGGAGATATTTATTTTAAATATATTTATATATATTCTGAATTGCTGCCCCATTAAATGTGAAACACTACAAAGATTTAGTAAATTTATGGAATGTTTATGTTACAGTTACAGATCTGCTTCCTCTGTATTACATATTAAGATAACCTCGAGTTGGTGGAGCATATGCAGCATGCATATCTTCATTCGAGAGTTCCACATAAATCCTACCTGACTTTTCCCACAAAGAATATTCAGGCTTTTTTTAATGCAATTTTTATTATTGTTTGCAAACTACACACACAGTTGGAATTAAGCTGTTGGGGAAACCACATATATATGTTTATCACTGTCTCATCTTACGCTTCCGTATACATACAGCTGGCTTCAAGCTACTTAAATTCAGATCAAATGTGTCCTAAACACTTAAATACATAAATTTCTGAGGTGGGCCCGTTCTCTCTAGTGGTTATAATCGTCCAGTTTGATATTGGCGGCATATTGCTGCAAGAACTCCACTTCCAACGGATGCATCTCCTTGGCGGGTATGATCAGTGAGTGGAGTGGTCCGCCCAGATCCGCGGCACGCATCCCGTGCAACGTGCTAACCACAATTTGTTGCGTATCCTGACCAACGCGGGCCAGGCCCACGCATAGCGATTGTTCGTTCAGCACAGTGTTGCGCTCTAGAGCGTCCTTCTTCTCCACAATGGTCAGCAGCTGTTGGGCGGCTTCGGCGACGCTCATGAAACGCGGCGGCATGTACTCCTTGCGTTTGCGCATTAGCGACTCCGGTGTGGGCTCCTTAACCTTAATGTCGAGGAGACAGAGCGTGTGCATATTGTGCAGGCGATTTAGTTTGATTTTATCGTAGAAGCTGTCCGGCTTCCAGGTCTCATCCCAATATGGTATGGAGACGGTCTCGCCAAATTTGTATAGCTGCAGGCCACAGCAGCCAATGGCATTCATAATGGACGCATTATGTATGACCTTGTAGGGTATGTTCTTCTCCTTGGCGCGCAGAATGAAATCTGTGTGAGTGGTGGCTCCGAAGGGATCGCCCACCACAAGTAGGGCAACATCTGACTCCCCAGCACCAGCCAGAATCTCATCGGCTCCCTGCTCCACAAGGTCACGGTCCGCTAGCAACAGGGGACGCCCATAAAATTCTTGCTACAAACAAAAATTAATATTAAAATATAAAAATACATAATTCGACATTTTATTTTTGCGCTACACGCACTGCGGTCCCTACTCACCATATCCTCAAGGCTACAGCCGAGAATTGAGGTATACATTTCCAGGTACACACGACTACATTGCTTTACAATTTCAAGGCCTTTCACCGTGATATCCTTGATATCGCCCAGACCGAGTCCAATTAAGTAGAACATGTTGCTTGGTAATTTGCGCGCAACTCCCAATTGTTGTGCTATATGTTTTACTATTTTTTTGTTTTCTTTTGTTATTGTAGCTTTTGTATTTATGTATATATTAAAGCTCGGCGGAAACCGACACGTGCCCGTTATATTAGATTTGCACCTCGCTTGTTGCTTCTTCACGCGCGGACGACGCGATTGCACTAACATATGTTTTGCAGTGTTGCCGTGTGCGCCATTTTAGATTTGATTTAATGGCGCCGAAGTAAACAGAGGTCACACTTAAATTAGAAAAAAAAAAAATTACTCAGCCTTGGCAACACGAATTATTCATTGCACATCTTACTAGTCAATAAAACATACATTTGTACGTTAGTAAAGCTTATTAACTCATTTATTTAATTTATTAGGCAGGACTACCACTATTATTAAAAAATACTAAAATGTGTAGAATTATGGGTTTCAGCAATGCTATCGTTATCGAAAGAATCGATTTATTACTGTGTATTCCACGTGCGGCTCGAGCCATAATTTAGTTTCTAATATTTCTGTTTGTTCTCAAAGTATTACAAAAAGCAAAGATGCCGGCCGTAAGGAAGCCCAAGCCCCTAAAGGTTCAGAAACAAGTAACGCCATCCAAGTCACCGGCTCAAGCCAAAACCGTAATTTCTGGGCAGGTAAGTTACGTACTGATATGAGAAGCCCCAAGTAACGGTGTCTAAACTCCATTTTTGCAGTTGAAAAAGAAACTGGGCAAGGCGAAACCAGCTCCAAAGGAGCGGAAGGAGCGTGGAGTAGTATTTATCAAGCATTTGCCACATGGATTCTTTGAACAGCAATTGCGTCAATATTTCAAACAATTTGGACATGTAACGCGGCTGCGACTCGCACGCTCCGAACGGACTGGCGGAAGCAAAGGATATGCTTTTGTCGAGTTCGAATATCCAGAGGTGGCCAAAGTGGCAGCCAATACCATGGATAACTATCTAATGTTTCAGAAAGTGGTCAAGGCAACGTATATACCACCAGAGAAGCAAAAGTTTAATTACTTCAAGAATACTGTGAAGAAAGTCACAAATAAGGTGCGCAAATGGCATAGAAGAACAAATTTATTATACAATAATAATATTAAAATATAACATTTTCCAGGCTGGCAAAGAAATTTATGTTTCGGATGTAACCAAAGCTACACAGCGCAGTGTTAAGCAACAGAATGATTGGAGTGAAGCCGCTTGCCAGAAACGCACAGTCGCCGGCATCAAGAAACTGAAGCAAATGGAAAAGAAGTACAAGCATTTGGGTATTGATATATCCAATCTCATTTTGGAACCAGTCAAGAAAATAAAGGAGACAGAGCAATCGAAACCGTCAACGAGCAAAAAGCCAAAGGATGAAAAAAAGGAGCCGGAGCTGGCTGACCTTTTAGGCAACACCATTACCGAGGACTCAGATGATGAGGACTATGTGGATGCAAGTGATGATGATAGCGAGCCAGAACTTAACAGCGCTGAAGATGAAAGCGATGATTCTGAGGAAGAGGATTTGAAAGTTGTAAAGCCAAAAGCAGCACCCAAAAAGATGCAGAATAAAAACACAGGCGCTGAGCGCTTAGTCGAGCTAACCAAGCGCAAGCCGGGCACGGGCGGTGTGCAGAAGAAAAAGAAGCCTGTCGCAGCGCCCAAAGCTGCCCAGAAGTCAGCTACAAAGACACTGCAGCTGGCCGCAGCCAAACAACTGGCCAAGCCATTGCAGAAGAAGATTGGCAAAAAGCTAAAGAAGTAGAATTGTAGTATATTTTACCATAATAGTTAAGTAAAAAAAAAAAAACATTTTGTATAAAGTAAACTAATTGTCGGCTTTCGTAGACCCGGACATCTCAAGTTTAATGCGTTTGCACTTCATGCGACGATTTTGAAACCAAACCTTAACCTGACGCTCGCTCAGCTCCAAGGCGACGGCAATCTCGTAACGTCGCAGCCGTGTCAGGTAATTGGAGTAGCGAAATTCCGCTTCCAGTTGCTTGAGTTGGGTTTTGGTGAAAGCCGTGCGTTCCTTACGTTGTGCACTATTGCTGCTGGCTGCTGTGGAGTTTGGTTGGTCCATGGTCGTGGCTGAAGCTACACTGTCTGCCAGTTGCAGAGCATGGCAGCTATAAGCCGCGGCCGATCCTCCAGTCCAGGATTTGTTTCTGTAATCCTCATAGCTGGGTGCATTGGTCGGCTCATAGTTGTAGCTGTAGTCAAAGTCCTCATAGTCATTGACGTAAAAGGCGGCCAAATCTGTGGTGCAGTTCTTCATCGTAGCTCCTGCTGATCGAACACTCTAATTAACACTGAGCTCTCGGGCACACGATGACGCCTCTTAAGTCGAGTTCTGTGCGCGAACTGCTCATTGGCCGGCGCTCTTCGCAGTCGATTGGCTCAATCTGTTTTTCCACTTAAATGTAAATGATGTGCTGCTGATATGATAATTGTGCGCAACATCTGGACACACACTGCCCCCCACAGCCGCCGACTCGACCAGCCGTAACGTCGCGTGCTCTACTCTGCTGTGCTCAGTTTGGCTTTGCCTTTGAACACTTGTGACACCCACAATCTATGTTGTTGTTTTCCTAAGACTCTGATGGCAAAACAAAACAAAAACAAAAGACTCAGCTAAACCGGAAGTAGCTACTGCTCGCATGTGTGTGTGGATACTAGGTTTAGCTGCAAACATGAGTCAAGTGCTTTGTACGACTGAAAGAACTCTAAGCATTTTTTAATATCCCTCATAAAAGTACGCATAGAAGGATGGAGGAGATGATTGTCAATTGCACGCACTTTTTACTTTTTGCGCATCATTTCACTTGGCTACGGTGCGGATATCCACATCCCCAGTTTTGTTCGCTGATACTGATCAGCACTCTTTACTTGTCTATCTTCAAATTAATTTTAATATTACATTACATATGAATTGAAGAAAAAAAACAGCATATTTATAAACTATGTTTTTTAGTTTAAATTGGCAAAAGACCCGCCTATATAGACCGCATCTGGCAACGCCATTAAATAAATTGTCTGCGTTTATTATCGTGCTCATTTCAAAAATAATCATACCTTTTTATGTTTGTTCATTACTTGAGGGTTAGCCTATTGATTAATAATCCTGTCTTTCATATCTAGCTCATCACTCAATTTAAAAGATTTGAGGAACTCCTAAATTTAGTGGCGCTACCGTACGATAATGGTTATGTGAAAAATCGAATAATGCTGTAATCGATACCCGCTCACATACCTAGGTGAATAAATGAAGGCGGCTATTAAACATCGATAGACTGAAACAACAACAGAAAGGCGTCCGTGGTGTTCGGTTCGCGAGTCGCGCATCTGCATCAACATTAGTTGAATATAAATTAATTAAATTAATTCGATACAAGATATAGCTTATGTTAATAGCATAGCAGTATATAAAAACCGCGCCGCAATGATTAATTGAAATACTAGCCGCTACAGTGGCAGCCGTGCAGCAGCGACTGCGGCAAAGTGTCGAAAGTGGAGAGAGAAAAAGTCTCAAAAAAAAAAAAACACCGAAAATCTTTAACAAGTTTTTTTGTTTGTAGATGCGCGAGTGCTGAAAATTGCGTTAAAAGAAAGCTGCGCTATTGCCTGAGTAGCAATTGAGTTGCAAAATATGATCAACAAAATACGAGCAGTTAATTTTGAAGTTGTACTTGTGTTGTGAGTGTGAGTGTGTGTGTGCCTGTGTCTGCGTTTGCGTGCGTGCATTTGTGTGCGTTTGTGCCTGCGTGTAAGTGAAATAAAAGCAATTGTAAATGAGTGCGCAAAGAAGTTGTGAAGTGGCGGCAGCGACAGCCAAGCCCAAAACTTCAGTGAAGCATTGCGAGAGGGAAGAACGCCACAAATATTAAAACAAAGTGCAAATGACGACAGCGTCAAACACGTTGGCAAATTAAATACGACTAAAAACGAAAACAAGAAAAGAGCCGAAAAACATAAATACCGAAGTGAACAACGGTTTGCAGTTCCAGGTGGTCAGCAAAGAGCAGCAGCAACACACTCACAGACACACACACCCGCACAGGGAGCGGCAACAACAGCAGCAGTGGGCGACAACGTCAACGTTAACGTCGCGCAATGACCGAGGAATTGAAAGTGGTGCTGCGTCGCAGTCGCAGTGAGCAGCATTCCGGTTTCGGGTTTTCGCTGCTCGGCACAACTGGACCGCCGCATGTCATCTACGACATTGTTGAGAATTCGCCGGCCGCCGACTGCGGTGCGGTAAGTAATAGTCACACATACAAATGCATACGTAGATGCAGACATGCATATACATATGTGTATACACACTCCTTACACTCTCTCTCGCTTTTTGTTTGCTCAAATATTGCACTCTGACTCCACCTACCGCAAACTGTTATCCTACTTTTGGCGCTGCCGTATTCCCATTAGGGACTGCCCTATGACTTCATCAACCACCGGGGCGCAGCGCAACAGACCCAAGTGGTGGATATATGTTGCACCACCCTCTTTTTTATGTCGCATTTGCCGCTGTAGATAAGCGCATTTCTTACATTTGAAGATTTCGTAAGTGTGTGTGTTAGTGTGTATGAAAAGCACTCAATTTAGCAGCCTGGCAAGAGTCGCGAAACGAGACCTCGACGCAGTCATCGGTGTTGCCCATCTTCAATGACGCCCACTGTGATGTCATCGTGTCACTTGCTCTTTTATTGGGGAACTGCCACAGGCGCACACAGACATACAAACATATATTCTCACACATGCGAAGACACGCACACTAAGAAGTAACACTATGTATCAATTTTCATTAGAGGTTTCGCTTCTATTTACTTTTGTTATTGAAATTCCCATGAAATGCTTTGCTCATTTCGATTTCAATTTAATAAAAACTAAAACAAAATGAAGAAATACAAGCATACAAATAAATGTATGTAATGTTTGTATGTGTGCATTGGCACTAAAATCAAATGCGGGAATTGGCAATTCATTTTGCTATATCTATAGAAATTTTTGTTTTCATTTTCATTTCAATATATCTAAAAGGCAATAAATCATTAGTGCTGTACAATCGTGACGCAAAAGATGTATTGGAAATTTATTTTTAAACAGTTAGTTGGCGTCCAAGTTCCTTTTAAGTATGTATCTTAGCATAATGATAAGAAATCTTGAAATAGCTAAGAGGTTAGCTAACATTGCCTTGTGTCTTTTGATTGTTTAATGTTATCTTTAAAAGAATCTCTTATCGTTTACCTTTCATATCTGAGATATAATTAGTTTGAGCTTTACTCCTTTATTCGAATGCACCCACATTTGTATGTAAGTACACATATGTACATATGTACATATGTACACAAGCACATATGTATATACGTAAGTATATCTACATATATAAATATGTGACAATCCCTCAAGAATAATTTTCAACAGAAATGTTAGAAATGACAAATCCATCGGAAATGGATAGTTAGAGAGGGATATGACCACGTACACCGGGAGTTGCATTAGACGGAATCAAACGTGCTGCACATATTTGATGCGTAAAGTTCATTGAAAACAATATGCATTTTCAACTCGATTCAAAAGAAGTGCAAACTAATCAAACAATCACAACAACGACAACAAAAACAACGGTAAGAGCAATAAAGCGCAGCTATAAACAGCAAAGCAAAGCAAAGACAAGTTATAAATACAATATAAGTCGCACTCACACATACGCAGAGGCAGAGGACACAGACAGAGACACTTACTCACACACTCGCAAACTCGTGAATAATTATCAGGCACAGCAAATGTAAAGAAAATTAAAATCAAAAAACAAACAAGCAACAAAATGTTTGTGTACGTTTATTATTATTGCTTTCGAGTGCGGCTTTTGGCTTTTTTTATTTTTTAGAAATAAATTTATTCGCACGACTCCTCGTTTCGAACGACAAGAGAGAAAAGTGTGAAAGCCAGAAGAGCTAAGAAACACAAACACAAAGAGTCGACTGCAAAAACGTGTTTGGAATTTTAAATTTAAATATTAAGTAATTTGACAAATACAAGAAAAAACAATCAAATATATATGTATGTATGTGTGTACATATAAAAAAAAAAGTTGTCAGCCAGTCACAAGAGAAACAACAATAACATTCGCTGCCGCAACGTGGCTACCGTCAACGTCGACGCAGACCTCAACAGAGCAAGCAACTCGTCAACATCGCCGCCGGCGTTGTAATCGCACTCACACTTACGCTTACACACATACACACACTAAGGCACACCGGCACGCACTTTTTCAATTTGTTATTATCGCTTTCGCTTACAACTTGTTGTTCCTTTCAGAGGGGGATGCTAGTTTTGTCGCGCTATCTCTTGCGATGTTTACGTTTGTTTGTCTCTTGCTGTGACTGTTGTTCTGCTGCACAATAATTTTTCAATGAGCTGTGAATCTCAGATAATTCACACACCATGCTTGTTATATCTATGCATGTGTGTATATATAAATATGTACGAGTGCAAGCGCATATAATGCATGTATAAATAAATATGTATTTACTGTTTGTTGTTGTCTCCGGGCATTAGTGCTGGACCGTGACTTTAGCGATAGTTTATCAATAAGCAAATTGAACGCTAATTAGTAAGTGCTGCCGTATGCAAGATTATTTAAATTGGGATGTATAAAATTGTGTCATAGAAAAAATTCAAAATAATTATTAGAATTTATATACACAAACATGTTTTAACTATTGTTATAAAGTATGAAGATCAAGAGTATAAAGTTGCATGCTGAAAGTTTCCCTTTCATGTCTGTCGCATTGTGTTCACTCTCTGTTCTGATTCTACTTCGTTTTGTTGTTAACTGGCAGCTCTAATGCCCATTCTTTGCAGGTGTCTGTGTGTGTGTGCGTGCATGTGTGAGCTTGTTGTTTGGTTCGTGCACAATTTCATACAAGTGAGAAATTTATATTAATTGTATGGATAACAAAAGAACAGTTAATTTGTTGAACATATCATATGTTGTTTTCCTCCTAAGCCTTTCATTTTCTATAAACAATCGCACCCGAACGTGCACAAATGTGAACTAGTGCGTCTGTGTGCATTTATTAGTTTCATCATAATATCGAAAGAGGTTTACTGTGCACATACACAATGTCATTAATCAAATTCCTGGATATTCATCATTTTGGATGATTTTTTCCCGTTCCTAACTAAATTGCTTTTTAATTTCTACTCTTCGAAGCTAAGACGAGTTTTCAGAATGAGAACAGTCCCCATTTAAATTACATGTCTCTGCGAATGTGTGTGTGAGTGTGTGTTTGCTTTAAACTGGTCCAAAGACCACATTAACAGCTTCAATCACCAACATTTCACGCTGGACGCAACCATTCGGGGCTGCCATACACATATGTACATATGGTTTGTATATTGTGGACACAATCTTTGCCCCGCCCACTTCCTTGCCAGCCCCTTTTCACGAGCGAGTCTGAGCTCTGCCGGCTGTTGCAAAATTCTAACGCTAAGCTTAATTAGACTTTAACTGGAAGTGACTAACGACTTTTGTTATTGTGCTGCCTGAAAACAAATTAATTGTCGCCGACAGACGGCCAAACAAAAGGAACACAAGAGAACAAAAACTACAAGGCTATATTGATTTTTTCTTGTTGTCTAAGTGCAAGTTTTACACACGAAACACACACACACATCCATTCGAACGTGCCTTTGTATTAGATGCAATGGGTCGTCTGCCGATCCGATATATTATATACATATGTAAGTACTTGTGTGTATGTATGTGTCGATGTCTTCATACACTTTGAAAATTGTCTTCGAGAGAACATCAAGTTTGCTACAGCAACAAATTTCAAGCTCTAGAAAACATAAAACTGTCATTTGTAGGTTCAATGTGCGTAGCACACGACTCGGTGGGCAGGTCACGATACGGTACGAACTAGCTACAATAGAACTAACTTGCACGCGACACTTTGCCATTTCGATAAATGTCAACGTTCCGCGTTTGACCAGCGAAAGAGAGCTTATGTGCTGTCCCGCTCTCTTTGCCCTTAACTGGAAGTCAGAAGTGCACACACTATAAAGTCAATTCGCTTTAATTGAATTACAAAAGCTGAAAAAAAAAAAACAAATGAAAAATGCCCGCGCGTTTATTAAGTTAGTTTTTAATGACGGCTCAAGGGGTGAAGCGGGCTGAGGTAAGGCAAGGTAAGGTGAGGTGTGGTGTGGTGAGATGAGCTGAGCTGAGCTGAGTTGTGCTTTGCTGTGTTGTGCGTTGAGTGGGGGGTGGCCTTAAAAGAGGTTGGCGGCGGCGTTGAGAGCGCGCCGCGGTTCGTTGCACGACACGCCAGAGCGAACATCGCAACAACAGCAACAAGCATTTACGAAATAATAAGTTAGAACAATGAGTGCATAAGGCACTCGGCATGCAAAAAGCAGCCGAAGAAAGCGCAGTGTGCAGTAAACTTTGCGCTAAATCTAAGCATTATATTAAAAAAGAGTGTTTGTTTGTGAGCGCCCAGGCGTCACAAAAGACGCTTTCAAACACTGCAACAAAAGCAACATTATAGTTTGCTGTTAACGTGTGTGTGTGTGTGTGTGTATACACATATAATGCACGTAATGTGCACACATGAGTATAAATGGCTGCACTTTGTCTGGCGGTGTTGCCACTTGGCTGCTGTCTGTTGGCTGCAAATTGAGTGGCAGCACTTGTAGTTGTCATCCGTCTCGAGTTCTTTTAGCAAGTGTTTGTGTGTGCAAGTGTGTGCGTCTGTTTGTGTCTATGTTTTTGTTTTTCTTTGTTTGCATTCCCTTTGCCGCTTTTCGAATGCTCAATTAGACGCCAAGTGGCCGACGAGCCGGCCGGCTCCCTGATTGGCTTGGCGTAGTCGCCTGGATGATTCCCCCATCTCTAATGCCCTGGTTAGCTATTTCGGCATATATTTTTGTAGTGCAGTCGCGAAAGCGAATGCGAGCGCAAATCAATAACAACAAAATGAGCACCGAAAATAAACTTGTTTTTCTTCGATTTGCGAAAAAAAAAACTTTTCTGGGTGGTTTGCTCGTGTTTTCGTTTTGCGCAAATGCAAATACAGGTCAGATTGCTAGGCTTTTGGGTAGAGGGGGCTACAATTCGTGCTACTTGCCCCTTGCTTAGGCTGGTATTTCTCTTTTATATGTTTTGTTGCGTTTCCCCATAGCCTGGGCTGGTATTTTTGTAAAAAGTTCATTTCTGCGTTTCACACTAAACTAGGTAAAAAGTTAAGCAGCTGTGAAATTGTCGTAAAAATTGAAATCCAAGTCTAAATACTTTGGCTACGTACAGCTAGAAGTTTCGCAAAAAACTTGTTCTAGAGAATAGCGATACGGTTTATTTGAATTACGGATTACGGTAAAAAGGCATTTTATGGCTTTAAGTATGCATATTTACATATTTACCAGGTTTACTCGAGCGCAAAGCGCGTAAATAACTTAATTCGAGTGCCCGTCAACAGATGTTTGTGTGAAAAAGAAATGTAAACATAAAACAGCGTCAGAATTAACATCATGTCAAACGGGGGGTCGACCGACACTCAAATTGACATAATTAAGCGCGACGAAAGCGATGCCATATCTCCATTTGTGACTTCCGCCCTTTAGGCGATTACACAACACCTACACACCTATACACCTACACATGTACACACCTAGCTACCTAGAAACGGTAAATGTGTTTTAGTGATTATTTGTTTACTTTTTGCCTGATTTATATGTACGATTTGGGAAAGGGAAGCGAAGCACACAATGGACAGTTCAGATAGCTGGCAAGGTCGTTCGAAATCCACACACACACTCACACACAGACATCTGATCCGAGCTGAATACATTTTGAATGAGTGCAAATAAATGAGTGCGCGAATTAGGGATACGCTCAAGCAAAATCAAATTATGCAGTCTATTCAAATGAGACGTCAAAGCAGACTAGCAAACTGAGGGCTGTGCCTGACAAGCTTGATGATAAATGACAGACAAGCAACGCTGTGACTCTGCTGCACTGGTCATTCTATTCACAATGGTTCACGCTATGAGCACAAGTGAAAGAGAAAGGCAACGTATGGCATTACAACAAATGCAATGAAAACTAAGAAATCACGTTTAAACAGAATGGCAGAGCTATTAGTAGAATAACAGTTTCAAATTGTTTGAACCGCCAACTAGCTATTCGGCCCACAGCCCACTTAATCGCAGCGTTGGCCTATTTTGTATTTGCTTACCTTGTTAGAAATGTATGTGTGTGCGTCACTGCCGCAGGTAGCAGCTGGCCTGACCCCTGGATGTAAAAAATTACAACTGACAAGTTGTTGAACGCCTATGCAAAACCTTCTTTGCTATTACATATGGCAAACATCGATTTTCTATAAATTGTATGTATATTTGAAATAACTTACGAATGGTAACAGAGTAATGGTAGAGTAATACGTAGTAAACTAAATAAAGTTTATAAATATCGCATTTTAATGTCTTTTAATAATGGTTTCACATATTTTTGCAAGTTAGTTATTTCCCACATCTTGAAGTTAGGAATTCATAATTCGTGAAACGATATGAAACACGACAAAGGCTCAGCTCTAGATTACAGCCACTGCTGGCCGTGCCAATGCCTTCGCATAACGGTGAAGGCAATGCTTATGCCGCATCGCTTCGTACTTGACTGGGTCAACGCCATGTCGTCGACGTCGTCATTGATGGCATTGCGCTGACACTAATACAATCAATGCATTGGCTTGTTTACCTGCCTACTTGACAACCAACCAACCAGCCAGAAAGCCAGCCAGCCTGCTGGCCTGATTGTGATTGGGTGGGCGTGTTGTTGTTGCTATTGTTAATTGATATTGCTGGCAGAATAAACTGATTTGCAGTCAACAAAAAAGTCATTGAAAATATGAGTTCAAGTAAAGACAACTACCGTAAAACAAAGCAATCGAAATAAATAACAATAATTCCATTGAGAATGACACTAATTGAGGAGTTTAGTGTTTATTTGGCAGTAGATAACTGAAACCTGACCAAAATAATAAAGCCGATACGAGGCGCCATAATTCTAGACGCTATCAGTGTTTACTTTGAATACATTTGATTTAAAAGCGTTTGTTTTGCAACCTGTGAGTACTATAAGTACCAGCACAATTATGAACAACTCGTTAATTAATGTTTTATTGATTGCGATCAGTGCTTAAATAGGCAATTAAGCTCATTTGCGAATAGTCTGGCAACTCTGACTATTGTGACTGCATATGAATTTTCGTCTGCGAGAGCATCACTTGCATTGCTCACGACTCGCAGCTCTTAATCCCATTCGATTGCAACAACAACAACAAGTAGGTATTAAGTTTGAGATTACACGAAGAAGGCATCAGATGAAAACGTGACAAAGCGCAGGGCTGAAATGATGAAGACGCTGAAGCATCGTGAAAGCAAATCAATTTGCAAGCAAATTTTACGGAATGCATACATATTGGCCGTGTTTACATGTGTATAAGAGAGCGTGGTGTTGCTGTGTGTGTGTTGGCAATTTACAAAGCGTACATTTAACTGCATTCCAATTAGACACTAATTCAAAAATGATGCTGTAAGCCTTTAATGAGCTTTTCACTGCGACGCAGACTAGGGCTTATCAGTTTTATGCAAATGTGTGTGTTCGTATGTATGTAAGGGACTACTCAATATTAAATTTGCATTAGGTGTGTTGGCCATTAATTTATGTTTTCTTTGAAGGGGTTTTGCTTATATCCCAAATATTTCGTATTTGTGTGCTCATACGCACACAATCTCATTCTTACATACCTAAATCTATTTGCCGCATATCAAGCGACTTAAAATTAAATTTGTATCGAAATTTGAAAGACGTTGAATTTTACAGCGGCCCGTTACATTTGCTCTCTTCGTTGCATCTCTTTGCCGAGCGTTCTCTTTCATTCTCATTTTTCTCTTTTTGTTATGCATGCCAGATGAAGGCAAGAGCTTCATGCAACTCTGCGCTCATCTGACGTCTATTGTGAACAAAACGTGCACATACCGCATAAATTAGTGCAATTTTTCGGTTTACTTACGGTCATCTCTGGGAGCTGGTGCCAATAAACACATAAACAAGCAAAAGCTGCGACAGTGACACTCCTAAAAGGCACATTCCTCAATTATAGTATCGACTAGAAATAACGTCCTTTTCGCGCCATTAATTATGCAATCAAAGCAAATTCACTTCGCTTGCATTTTGCATGAGTAGTGCTCTAATTTTGTTTGCTCTGCTTCGGCTGGGAAGGGGCTTTCACATGGAGCGGCATGCCTGAAAAATGTATTGACTAAACTAAATGCCTTGGATTGGCCAGAGAAGTGCGTACCCCACCATGGAGAGCTCATCAAACAACAATATATTTTTGACGTCAGCGCGAACAGGCGGACAAGGCGCCAATGCCATTTCGCTTGTTTTTTTTTTTTATTTAAGTATTGTTTTTGTTGTTATTATCGTTGTTGACACGCGGATGCGAATAGGAATTAAAAATAGTTTACAAGTGCCGACAAGTTGGACTGACGGAGCTTGTTTATCCGCGTGGTTCCATTGCTTTGGCGCAAAGAAAATAAAACACAAATATATTATACTGAAGGAAAATCAATATTCATTTTAGTGTCCTATTTCGTTTCGATTCTAATCAGGAAATGTCATAAATAATAGTAAAATTTTTGTGAACGTTTAATAAGTTGAATATTTTTCTATTTTTGCAGGTCGAAGCGGGCGACGTTATATTGAAAGTCAATGGCATCGATGTACATCGGCACACCACGAAGGAAGGCAAGTGCTGCAGTGTCTAAGCCTAATCAATTTTCCTAATTTTCGAATTAATTACAGTGCTCAAGTGTTTACGCCTGTCGGAGAACTTAGTAACCTTGGAGCTTAAACGAGGTAAGTGACATTCATATAAACAGTGCAGAATTTCGACAATTTATGCTTACATTTTCTTTTTGTAGATCCCAAGCTGAAAGCACGCATTAAAGAGCAGTTGGCCAATACGCAGAGTCCGCATTACGTGGACATTGAATCTCCCATCAATATCTATGATTATAGCAGCAGTCCAAACGCCGCTTCGCCCAAGAATCAGCGCCAGAATCAGAATCAGTATCAGAAGGGGACAACCCCGCCCACAAATGCTAGTTCGCCGGCGCTGCGGTACAAGTCGCCCACGCATTTGCCATCGCTGCGCCAGAATTCTCCGACAGCAACAGCGATAACATCAATTGCTGCAGCATCCACAACTACCACAATACACACGCACAGCCGCAACTCTTCCGCCAGCTCGACCAAGATACAAATGGTAGAATCCACAACGATTACAACGAGCATTAGCAACAGCAATATTGCAACATCACCCACGGCAGCAGGGAGCGGTGCCACCTCGCCGACTTTTCGACCGTCACGCATTCCACAGGCCCTGAAAAGTGTCGCCTCCAAACCAGTGCCACAAGTGCAGTCGCCACAGCACAAGCGACCACGCCCCTCTCAAATACCAACGAAGGCAGCTAACGGCAACGGCAACGGTCTTCAGCCACTGCAGCACTCGAACAGTTACAGCGGCAGTCCAGCCGTAACCCGGCAGCGCCACGTGGAACGCGAGCCTGAGCCGGAACCCAATTCGGCTCCGCCGCAGCCGGCTAAGGCGCCGCGCTTTGAGGCTTATATGATGACAGGTGATCTAATATTGAATCTATCAAGAACACCCCAATCGAGTAATTTAATAACGACGCAAGCCAAGAAGGTAATGTCCGCAAATAGTTCTTATTGCAGGGCTGCTCATATTCTGTTATTAATTGTAATCACTTCAATTACAGGTGGACAGTCTGCGAGACTTCCCGAAGCGCAATGTGGTTAATGCACGTGCCAATGGCGCCCTAGCACCGCGGGCATCCGGTGAATCTTCGCCCACATCTTCGTCGTCAGTGGACTCGCCCACCAATACGGCCAGCTCGGATTCCATGAAACGTGAGGCTAAGCTGCAGCGTGGTCAGCAGCAACAACACCAGCAACAGCAGCAGCAACAACAAGAACAACAAGAACAACAACAACAACAGCAGCAGCAGCAGCGCGATAGCATAAATAACAGCTATAATCGTCGGGATTCGCTGACCAACGATACATTGCTAATGTGTGAGGAGCTGGAGCGTGATGATGATGCCACCACAGACTACGGTGACAATAAGCGTCAGCAGCAACGTCAGCAGCAGCAACAACAGCAGCGCTATCGACAGCAGCAGCAGCAACAACAACAGCAGCAACAGCGCTATGAGTACTACCAAAACGAAGATGAGCTGGAGGCGGATCAGGAAGAACGCGAAGAGGATCAAACCCATTATGACATCACAAACATCGAAACGTATCAAAGTGGTTTAGGTCGTGGTGACGAGGATGATAGCGATCGTCAATGTCTGGTTGACGACGATGATGATGATGATTACGATGAGGAGGACAATGATGCCGGCGATGAGGAATACTCCACAAATTCACTGGGGTCGGGCACCGGCTCAACCAAGCAACGCATGCGGGCACTCAAGCAGCGCAGTGTGATGCGGCAACAGATGCAGCGTAATCGAGATGCTGTTGATTGTGCTGCACGTGTAACGGCTGGTCACTCTGCCTCCACATCCAACTCGTCTGGGACGGTTAAAAGTGAGGCTGTTCTAGGCCTTGGCCAGGACGAGACTTCCTTCTCTGTACCAACTTCGCCAATTTCGCTGTCGGCTCCATTGATCGATAAGGAGACGGCCAGCTCGGTGCCCACCAGTCCGGAGCCCAGCTCCCTGGCGGCCGAGTCGAGCAACAACGGCGCTGGCGTTGTGGTGCGCCGCCACAATGGACATGTGGTGCGTAAGTGTGATGCTGCAGGTTTTCGCACCAGCAAATCTGAGGATCATCTGCAGCAGGTACAGCGCGAAGGCATTGCGGCTGTGATACCCATTGATATCGACGAAGATGTGAATAGCTCGCTGAATACGTTGCTGGATACGCGCCACGACTCGGAGGATTCGCAGGTGAGCGTTGGACAATAGAGCGGCTTAGCTAGCCAAAGCCCCAGAATAGCTGTAAATAAATCTAGAGAGGCCTTCATACGCAGGCATATTTCCAGTCGGAAAGCCAACATATAAACACAGATATAGCTGTGCATTTTCAGATCCAGAACACGCACAGTGTCACAATGCCTAAAGTAGATTGTCATTGTTGCAGTGATTTGTGTAGTGTTAAACTAGTTCTGGTTGTTGTCTTTTGATATAAGTACGATTATAACGGTGTAATCACGTAGAACCTGTCAAATCCTTTATCATATGTGTAGTATATATCATTCGCTGTATCTTTGTGAACCCATCATACATCAAGTTTCCACTTTACTCGTTACTCGTTACTTGTTACTCTTTACTCGTTACTTTTTACTCGTTACTATTTACTTTCCTACTATACGACAATTAACAACTACTTCTATCTTGTCTATCTTACTCTTACTCTTACTTGTGTTTCTTCTTTCTTTCCTTCCTTTCGTTTTCTCTGTTGATTCGCATTTTACCTGAACTTTTTCTATATATCGCAAATTCTTTAAAAATCAAACAAATAAACCTAGTCGACAACAACAACTGAATCAACGATTAAGTACAACTCGTCGGCGCTGAACAACAATGAGACCGAGCCGAGCAACAACAATAACAATAACAACGAGTGCAAAGAATTGTCGCCAGCAACAACACCAGCGAAARCAACAACAACAACAACAATGGCAACAACAAAAGCGACAGCAGCAACAAGAGCAACAACCACTCCAACAGGCAGCGGCTGCAGCAACAAATTAAACTATATTTTACGCAAAAAGGTTGCCATTTGTTAAGCATGGCATGCACAAGAATAATTCATAATTAATGTGATTTGCTGTGTTTATCGTTTGCGAATATTTTCTGTTTTGTTGCCTGCCTGTTGTGCTAAACGTTTGTATGTAGACAGCAAGTAGTCCAAACTAAAGCTTACCGACACACAGATACTCTGAAAACACAAATCGACACACACAAACGGCTACACTTGGCAATTATTTAGGGCTCTCCCTCTCTCAGATTGGGCAACGGCAAATGGAAATTGAGCAACAACTAAAAAATCAATAATAATTTTAAGACAAATATACGATATACTCTACTCTCTATATGCATACTTTGACGCATATCAATTGAAATTTGACTAATTTATGTTTATTCAATGCAGGCATCGAATCGCGATCGTATCGTGTGGACTTACAATGCCCCACTGCAGCCGCATCAGTTGCAGCAGCTGCAGCAGCAGCAGCAACAACAATTGCATCAGCAACAACAGCAGCAACAACAGCAACAACAACAACAACAACAACAACAACAACAACAGCAGCAGCAATACTACGGTCAGCAATCGAATTCAAATTCCCATTCAAGTTCCATTAGCTCATCGCCACAGAATTCGGCAGCCGGCAGTCCGGCCTCGCCCACGTCGGTGTCCTCGTCCGTTATGTCGTCTTCAGGCTCAAAGAGCGCACAGCAACAGCAATTACAACAACAGCAACAGCAGCGCGATCAGTCACCTGTTGCCATGCCGGGTCTGTTGGGCTGCCCCAATGGTGGTGCTGCTAATGGTGCTAATGGTGGTGGTGGTGGTGGTGGTGGTGGTTTTGGCAACGATCAGAGCGTCTCAGAGGCCATTTCAAATATCTCTAGTCCAGATTATCAAGACGACGATAATTTATTAAGTTCTCGCGATATTTTAGGCGGCATGGTACTTAGCGATCCCAGCGATTCGGACTCCACCATTCTTGTCTCCGATGCGGCGGCCCAGCAACGGCAGCAACAGCAGCAGCTGAAGCAACAGCTGCGCGCCCAGCAACAGCAGCGGGAACGTGAACGCGAACGCGATCGTGATCCGTCCGAGCACAAGCTGGTCATACAGGTGCGTGGCATGGATAACAGCAACAACACCACCAGCAACGCAAATCGATCCGACGAGGATGGCAACACGCAAACGGAGGAGCCGTCCTCAACGGTTGGGGCCCGGGATGGCTCGCCGCCCGTTTCGGATGATGGCAGTGATGTGGAGTCGCTGCATTCATATCACTACTCGCCGAAGGCCGTGGATATGCCCTCGGCCATACGCCTGGCCAAAAGACTGTACTCTCTCGACGGTTTCAAGAAGAGCGACGTATCGCGGCATCTCAGCAAAAAGTTTGTTCATTATTCTATTATTATTTATGACGAGAACTAAATTTGTTTTATATTTCCAGCAATGACTTTAGCCGCGCTGTGGCCGACGAGTATTTGAAGCATTTTAATTTTGAAAAGAAATCTCTGGATCTGGCGCTGCGCGAATTTCTGCAGCAATTCTCACTGTCCGGCGAGACACAGGAGCGTGAACGTGTGCTGGTACATTTCTCAAAGCGTTTCCTGGACTGCAATCCCGGCACCTTCAACTCTCAGGATGCTGTACACACGTTAACATGCGCCATTATGCTGCTGAACACGGATCTGCATGGCCAGAATATCAGTCGCAAAATGAGCTGTGCTGAATTTGTGGACAATTTGGCCGATCTCAATGATGGCGAGAACTTTCCTAAGGATGTGCTAAAGTATTTATATCACGCCATCAAAACGAAGCCGCTGGAATGGGCGCTGTGAGAACTTTGATAAATCAACTCCCATATTATTCACATTTAACCGCTAATATGTTTCTTTTTGTTTTAGGGACGATGAGACGGGCGATCAACAGCAACAGCAGCGGGCAACCAACAATAGCGGGCTGACGGGAGTCAGCCAGAATCCGTTCCTAGATGCACCCGAATCGGCTACGGCAGTGGAATACAAAAAGGGCTATGTGATGCGCAAATGCTGTTATGATACCAGCTTTAAGAAAAGTAAGTAAACTACTGTAAAGTCTTTAGATTTACCGTTTACGTTTTATATTTTTCTCAATCAGCTCCCTTTGGCAAACGCTCGTGGAAAATGTTTTTCATAACGTTGCGCGATCTTGTTTTATATCTGCACAAGGACGAACACGGCTTTCGAAAGAGTCAAGTAAGTGCAGTGCACTTGCTGGCATTAGATCAATAAATTTGAGTAACACTTTGCTATAATTCCAACAGATGTCCGACAATCTGCATAATGCTATACGCATACATCACGCACTGGCCACTATGGCCAACGATTACACTAAGAAGCAACATGTGTTCCGGCTGCAAACAGCCGATCAGGCCGAGTATCTATTCCAGACGAGCGACTCGAAGGAACTGCACTCCTGGGTGGAGACCATTAACTATGTGTGCGCAGCGTTTTCGGCGCCGCCTCTAGAAGGTGGTGTGGGCAGCCAAAAACGTTTTCAGCGTCCGCTGTTGCCCAGCGCACAAACTAAACTGTCGATGGTGAGTGCCACATTTAAATTGATAGCATTATTTATATAGTTTTGTGATAATACACAAATTTGCAGAAGGAACAGCTTGAGTCGCATGAGCTGCAAGTGACCCAGTTAAAGCACGAACTGAAGGAGCATCAAAAGACGCCCGTGCCCAGCAAAGGCTTGCCACTGCAGAACTTTAAGGAGAAGGAGGCCTACTTACAATATGAGGTGGGTGCGGGTGGACAAGAGTCTGTTACGCTTGTTAACTAATTTGTTCATTCCCTAGCTACGTCGCTACGAGGCTTATGTAAGCATTTTAAACGCCAAGATGTTGGCCGAACAGCAGCCAATGGAGTTGCATTGTCAGCTGACAACACAACCAACGCTCGAGGAGGATGCGGAACCATTCCCCATGGGCTCGGTCAACATGCCCACAACGCCGCAAAGTATTAATACTCAACAGCAGTCGCCWCAGTCACAGCAGCAGCAGCAGCAGCCTCAGCAGTCGACCAACAGCAGGTACGGTCAACAACAGCGAGCCAGGAACTCCTCAACTAGCGGCAATGCCCAGCAGGACATTGGCTGACGCGTAATGGGAGTTTTCTCAGCTTGTGTGGTTTAATGCAATACATTCCCTGGATAAGTTATTTTTCTCGTTAAATGCGTGTTGTTCAGTTTATTTCTGTGTTCGTTTCAACCCCCGGCTTGTGTTGCTTTTGTTAATTGTTGTATTTGTCAGCTAGTCGTCTTCCCTAACAAACATTTATGTAAATACAAACCGTGTCGTGTTTAAATGTTTATGTTGCGCTTCGCATTAGTATATATTCCAGGAGTACATCACCCCTCAATACTGTAATTTTTAGACCATGCAGAAAGCTTTAATGTATTCTCAACTTAAAAGCCTAACAATAATTAAATAATTCAGAATTAAGAGTTGCGCATTAGCAATTAAAACTTCAAGGCGAGTCATAATATAATTATATGCCAGTTAATATAAACAATTCTTTTGTTTTTTGGTTGGCTTTTTTAAAACCCACACAAATTACTGTGAAAACTCTTAAGTAACAAATAATTAGAATTGTAAGAAGGCAAAGATTCGCTTAGTTTAAATGATAACGATAAACAGAAAAGAATTTTTCTAGCACATGTAGCAAACAACAATTTTTGGCGTTCAACGATAAAATTAGATGAGAAAACAATTTAGAAAACTAAAGAAAAAAAACACAAATGTGGTTCAAATGTAGTAATGTTTACTGTTTATACCTTGCCTAAATGCATTCTAAATATACATTAAAGTAGTAAAGTCGTTTATAAAGCGAAAACATTTTAATATATACCTATATATACACAAATATAAATAGTTATAGTATGACAAGTTATATGATTAGAGCTCTTTGAGTCTTATGCGCACACGCCCACACAAATACTCGAATGTTTCTGTTTGATAATCAAAGTAATTGTGGTCTAGTTGTTACAAAAAAAAAATTTAATACACACACAGTCACAGACATCTCACGCTCACACGCATACTGATGTAAACTATATATAAGAATCATGCTAACCATGTGGACAACTCATATGCAAATGCTGCTTGTTTACAGCATTCTCCGTATTATGTTGCGTTATGTTTCAAATCAAGCTAGCAAAATGGCAAAAACCAAAAAGAAAAATTCTTGAATTTTTACAGATGGTTCGACGATGGCGCCTGCTGTTGTCTGGCGCCCTGGCTGCAATTGTTCTCCTATTTCAAAAGTCACTAAAAATGCAATATTTAACACACTTTTCGCTTAGCGATGACACAAAAGCAACAAAGACAACAGCTACAACAACAACAATCACAAGCATCAATTGCACATTGGAGTCAAGCAACAAGAACAGCAAGAACAACTTTAGGAACAAACAACAAGCAAAAGCAATATTCAATAGATATTCAGACCTAACAATGTCTTGCCCCAAATGTGAGCAAATGAGTCAAATGCAAAATTATTATGTTCAACTTTCTTGTCAACTGTCCATTTTAATAGCTTGGCTGTGTATATATATTTATGTTATATATAATCAGAATATATATTCTATTATTATCGTTTTTACAATATGCATATTTTGGTATTTAATTTGAAGCACTTGTATAATTTGTATTAATATCGCATTTGATTTCACTTGCAGAAAAGAGAAGAAAAAGAAATAATTACGCATTTTCGTTTCGCTATTGATTTTCATCATTTCAACCACACAATAAAACCACTTGGCAATTGGTAAGTGCCAGCAATATTAACAAAAGCAAACCAAATTTATATAATCCGAATTTTACAACTTATGTGTTTTTCTCTGTTTAATGCAGCCCATGTCTATGATCAAATACTCCAACTGCCACACACACTCTCACATACAGAACACTCAACACTCAAATCGCTTACCAATACATCACTCACATGGAGGGGCACTAGACGATGCTGATGAGCAAGGGATTAGGGGGAGAACGGGGATTAGAGACTAATTAAAGGAAAAGAAGAACACTCACACATTGTGGCTGTGCCGAGCGATCGTGTGACGCCCAACAGTCTGCCAACAATTCAGAATTTATGTAAATCTCTTAAGCTACATAAAATATGATGATGACTATCTGTAATCGCAAGTTGTTAATGGTATTTAGGTCCTACACACAAAACGTTCGTTCAACAGAGAACTACAAAAATTTCGAAAGATAAACTCAGACCAATTATTTTGCTATTTTATATAAAATTAATTGAACCCATGTCGGGTTTACAATCTAATATATAAGCAGATTAAATTTATATCGAAATAATCGGAATATTAATGCTGGCAATTTTGCTGAGAGCAAAAGCTGGTTAGTCGTGACGCATAATCTTAATTGAATCCGAAATTTTATGCTGTTCTATTATTTGGCACAGGACTCTGATGAACGGCATTCTGTATTGTACCCCTTATACACTGCTTATTCACATATAAAGAATATTATTTAAAATTGAAAGAAACTTACATCATTACCTATGCTATCATTATAAATGATAAAAATAAATAATTAAACAATACTTTCTCTATACAATAACAAATGAACAACAGCGAGTTATGTAATTTGCTCGGTTAGCCTTTTTGCGTTAAGTATATTTCTCCAATATATTTATGTACGGCTGCAGATATATATATATATATAATAATTTATACAAAATACAATTGGTTGATTACGCGACAAGTCCACGTAGTTAGAATATGAAATTTAAAGAATCGAGAAAAATCACACATAAAAGTAAAAATAAATCGAAATACAATAACTTTGACTACATACATATGTATATTTTTAATATATATTATATTGTGTAATTATGTAAATGTAACTGTATAACAATTGTTTATAATTATTTTTAACAATTCTATTAAAAAAGGCAATAAATTGAAAAATCAAACAAAACAATTTAAAACACACGAAAACTTATGCTGCTTAAAAAGAATATATGTGGATATTATATACACATAATTTATTTAAAAACTGTGAAGAAACATTGTAATCCAAAATTTCTTGCAAAGGAAGATACATAGATTTCTCGTTAAATGGACACGCTTGATGAGACAATTAAGTGCTAATGTTATACATATATACATACACATATGCGTATACATTTAAAATTATATTAAGTGAATGAGAACCAATCACAAAAGCATGACACATTAAAAACTTCCAACAAACTTTACCAAAATGTTTTTTATAACGGGCCTTCAGTAGCATTTCGTTTAAAAAATCGTATGACTACGCGCCAATGCTTTAGCCATCGCGGCTTTTGTATCGATACTCGGCATAATATTGGTTGTTATCGGGATGAGTATATTTACAGAAGACATTAAGGCATCGATATTCGATAGTAGCTTTGTCCATTGTATAAATGTGTTTTTTGATAAGTGCACTCAACTTCGAGCAACAGCTGTTCCTTACAGCTGTTTAAACGGCAACAGTTTCATTTGTATCCGTTAAGTTGCCGTTGGAGTTATTTATCAATTAAAATAATGCAATATAGCTTATTAAGTGTGGCCTTTAGGCAATACAGGCTTTTGGCGAGGCATCATGCAAAATTCGCCAAACGATTTTACAGTTCAGATATTAGAAACATTGGTATTTTAGCACATATTGACGCAGGTAATAGTTATAATTCACCATTATTATAAAATACCTAAAATCAATCACGTTAGGCAAAACAACGACAACAGAACGTATGCTTTTCTATGCGGGCAAAACACGGTCCTTGGGTGAAGTTCACCGCGGCAACACGGTAACGGATTACCTCACACAAGAGCGCGAACGAGGCATTACAATATGTAGTTCAGCCGTAACGTTTGGCTGGAATGGTAAGCGGTGGGTGCCCCTCTGATAAATGAATCTTAGTAACTAGATACTAAATAATAATTACCCGTAGTATTAATCTGCTGGACACGCCCGGTCATATTGACTTTACAATGGAGGTAGAACAGTCGCTATATGCAGTTGATGGTGTTATTATTGTGCTGGACGGCACCGCAGGCGTGGAAGCGCAAACAGTTACAGTTTGGACACAGGCTGACAAACACAATCTGCCGCGGCTTGTGTTCGTCAACAAGATGGATCGCCCAGATGCCAATTTTGATAAATGTGTTGACGACTTGAAGGCGAAACTGGATGCTAAGCCCATTTGTATGCAAATTCCGGCAAAGAACATTGACGGACAGTTGGGTAAACCGAGTGGAAGGATTAGCAATGAAAAATATTTAAAATCAATATCTTGCAGGCATATACGATGTGATAACAATGGAGCTCTTAACCTGGCAACAAAAGGATTTAGGTCGTACTTATAATAAAGTTAAATTGGAAGCTTCCGATGAGCTGCGGCAATTGCAGGATAAGCGCAATGAGTTGATCGATGAGCTATCTGGAATTGATGATGAACTGGCTGAAGTGGTCATTAGCACTGAGAGATTTGACAACATCAGTAGTGAGCTAATTGTGCAGGCCCTGCGACGTGCAACGTGCAGCCAAAAGGTTGTGCCCGTCCTGTTGGGCTCCGCATATAAAAATATTGGCATACAATGTTTGATGGATGCTGTGAATGCTTATTTGCCAACACCCGCTGAACGAAATCAAATCTACAATTGTTTTGGGTAATTATCCGTTAGAGTCAAACTGTTAATATATCCACTATAGTATTACATAATTGCAGCAATGATTTGGCGGGCAAAGTATTCAAAATTGTGCACGATAAACAGCGCGGTCCACTCACTCTGGTGCGCCTGATTCGTGGTGAGCTGAAGCGAGGAATGCGTGTGCTCTGTTCGCGTGGACAGGCGGAGGTTATTACGAAAATTTATGAGCCACTAGCTGATGAATATAGAGAAGTGAACTCCATCCAAGCGGGCGATGTGGCGATATGCTCGGGTCTGAAGGTAATTATCAAATTAGCAATTGATTCGTGATAAACATGCTATTTTACAGTCCACAGTTACTGGTGATCTGCTTACGACCAGTCACACATCCTTGAAGAATGCACAGAAACGTTTTCTGCAAAGTCAGGACTCCACGGCCCCCCAAAAAGATGTTGATAATGATGACGGGGCTGATGAGCTGGATGTCAGTCATGGGCTGTTTTCATTTGAGCCCAAAATACCTGATGCAGTCTACTTCTGTTCTATCGAACCGCCCAGCATATCATCTCAAACGGCAATGGAACAGGCTCTCAAGCAACTCCAGCGTGAAGATCCCAGTCTGCGTGTTAGCTACGACTCCGTAACCGGGCAGACGGTGCTTGGCGGCATGGGGGAACTACATATGGACATTGTTAAATCACGTCTGCTCACTGAATACAAAATTGATGTTGATTTGGGTCCGTTGCAAATTGCGTACAAGGAGACCATCGAAGCACCTGCCATAACGACTTTGAGCGTGGAAAAAGAAATTGCGGGCAGCAAGCAAAATGTGAATATAACGCTGGAAGTTGTCAATAATCAGACCGAGCTTTTCAGGTAAATGCTGATTTTGGGTCGTACTGCGAGCTTTCATTACATTTTTGGTCTACTAAAGCCTAGATAAATCACCTGAGAATTTGCCAAATCTGAATGCTCTACGTCCTCGACTTCTTCAAGTGGTGCGCAAAGGAGCAACTGCTGCTTTGGAGCGTGGACCGCGAGTTGGCGGTCAAGTGGTGGACACTCAGATTCGTCTCCATAATATCACAGTGGGGCGTGGCACTGCCGACTCGTTTGTTATGGCTGCGGCGGCACAGTGCGTACAAAAGGTTAGTCCCCTTATCGCCTTCACTTAAATGAATATTCAATTCATATTTTTCTACCAGGTCCTGACCACAAGCGGCACACGGCTATTAGAGCCTATCATGTCCATTCAAATTGTAGCGCCCAATGAGCGTATATCGGGAATTATAGCTGATCTGTCAAGGCGTCGCGCAATTATAAAAGACGTAGCGCCCAAAGGCGACAGGAATAAGGTGAGGTGGAGCCTATTAGAAATTAATAATATTTCAATTACTGTTCTTTCAGTTGATATTTGTGAATGCGCCGTTGGCCGAGCTATCCGGCTATTCCAGTGCACTGCGTACGATCAGCTCCGGCACGGCCAGCATGACAATGCAGCCATGCGGCTTCTCAGAAATTAACCCCTTAGATGAGGCGATAGCCGTGCGTCGTGCTCAGGGATTGGAATGACACGATGCCACACTGATGGTTACCTAGTTTTAATTAACATAGTTCCCAATAAATGTTATGCCCAGTAGCAAATGCAAAGTTTGTCGAAGTTTTATTATCATTAGATTCACAGTAATAATGCATTCGTTTTAGAAATAGTTTTTGAACTGACCAGAATTTAGTATTTTAAAATTTGTTTAAATTGGTGTTACAAAATTTGGTGAATTGAACCGGTGCGACCTCTTTGGCACTACAGAATGGCGTTCTCAACGCAAAAAATATTTTTTCATGTACCGTTTATGAACGAAAAATACGGCTTTGAGTGCGTGAAACCTTGTGTAAAATTGAAAAGTTATGCATCAACAACCGATAAGCGTTCTTGGTCAGCGAGTGATACCAAAAAGTCTCGGTTTCTGGTTGATCTAGTCGGATGCCATACATCGGTGGTCGTGCGCCGTGAGCGAAAAGGTAATGGTCGGGGGCGTACTGGAGGCAAAGCACAAAGTATGGAAGGCCACAAGAAGGCTAGAAAGAGTCCAACTCGCTACGGGGACTCAAGAGGCCAAGAGCAAAGCTCAGGACGTCGGGCACGTTCTGAGCCAGAAAGTAGGCATGCATCTAGCCCCAGCCTGTTTAAAGGACGAGTTGGTTATGGAGGTCCAGTACCGGGTCAGAGAGGACATGGTCAGCCTGGCAGACGATTTTCAGGACCCAATCAGGGTTATGGAAATCCGGTTCAACGCCAAAGAAGTTTTCGTGGTCCAAATCTAGAGAATCAGGGCCGTGGCGGGCGAGGTTCAATCGCACACCAGGCCAGGCCAGCGGAAAATCCTGGTGAGAGAAGTGGCTATGAATGGTCCGGTCAGTATGGAAAAGGCTCTGCTGTTCCTGAGCAGAGTGGTGATCAGTATGGCTATGGGGCTCCGGGCCAAATTAGCAATTATGATTGTCCAAACCAGGAACGGAATTATTCTGAAGACCAAGAAAACTTCTATAGTCTAGGAACAGATCAGGGACAAGGACATGGCGGCAACGTAGATCCAGGTTATTGGAGAAATTTTAATTACGGGGATCAAGGACCCGGACAATACCAAGTGCAGGACAATTATGAAGCTCCAAATCATGAGACTCGGGAACCGGCCGACCGAGTTCAGTATACAAATGGTTACGAATGCTCTAATCAGCAGGATGAGGGCAACTACCCCAATTGGCACCCGGACGTCCGTGAGTTAGGTCAAGCCCACGTGCGTTACGGTGATGAGAATATGGGAAGATTGGGAGAAACTGAAGGAGAACTAGAACAGGGGGAAGGCTGGATCAACAACGAGGGCACGGGACAGCAGGATCAATGGCATGATGAACAGGCTGGAGAAGAACTAGGTCAATGTTCCTACAACAATGGAAACGGAAATCAAAGAAGTATGTATGACTCATCTCATTATCATGACGCAAATTAGTCAAGAGTAATATGCAAGCTTTTATCAAAAAATAATTTTTTTTTTTTCAAAATTAAGAGTAGCACGTGTGAAATAAAAATATATGAAGAGAAAAGTAATACATCAAAATAAAAATAATATAAATTAGTATGTCTGAAAATTTACATGAATTTTTCATTACTATTTTTAATCTCAATTCCAGCTTAACTATTTTTGTTAAAGAATTGAGGACAACTTAAACAAAATTGTTTTGTTTGTTTTTCTCTCTCTTATTCGGCTTTTAATGTAAAGGACGTGTCTGTCTCCTCTAGCATGTTCTCCAGGCGCAAGCCCAACTGTCGCCGCTGCATATCCACTTTTTGAACAGAGGCGATAATGCGATCCCCAATGCTTAGCTCAATGTTGTTCATATGGGTTTTATGGATGAGCCCGTCCCGTTCAACGCCAATGTCCACGAATGCGCCAAAGTGTGTCACATTCGTGACTGCACCTATTTACGAATCAAAGGGGAAAGTTCGCTGTTTATACATATTGCATTTAATTTAATATTAGTACTTGCCTGTCACCACATCGCCAATGCTAAGTTCATCCAATCGTGTTAGGCCTTGCTTGAATAGCGGCCGTTTGTCCAGATCTAGGCGATAATCCTGCAGCAGCTCCCGCTGCAGCGCAACCAGCACAAACTTTAACTGAATAAGTAAAGAAGAAGTAAGTAGACGATCAGTGATAGAATAAATAAATAATTACCCGATCAATGGGCAGTTTGTGCGTTGCAGCAAGCTCTTTTAGATTCTGCTCCGAAGTGCTGAATTCCTTGATACTCTGAATAAATCTGGCCTTGCCAATGTCCGAGATTTTTAAATCACATTTCCCAATAATGCTGTAAAAATATAACAAAATTATTAATAACAATTAACATTTTTATATACTTTTTGCAAGAAGAATTTCCAGTATTCTAATCTTATAAACTCAAATGGCGAAGAAACTGAAGGTTAGTGAGCTTAAGAAACTTTACGAAGAGCGTTGGAAGTACCCGCCGATGCAGAAGCCGCCCAAGATTCGGTTCATTGCTTGCGGCAAAAATATCAATTATGGAATTGAGAAGACTTATGAGCCTTGCTGGAAGTCCCCCATGCCCATGACAGCCGAAGCCCAGTTTGGTCCGTGTTGGGATTACCCTCCAGAACGCTACAAACGTCGCCCACTGCCGCCCCCATGTCGTGGTGCCACCATTCCACCCGATCTCTTGGTGCCCGAATTCGAGCATTGTAAAACGGTTTACACGCGATTCGACTTTCGCCTTGAGGAGTGTGTGCATCAGCAGATACTGTTCCTTGAGCATCTGTTCAGGAAACTGGAAGTGCAATTCACAGACGCCAGGACATTTCAAATTAAGATGGCTAAACAGATGCGATATCAGTCCATACGTCGACGCCTGTTAATAGGTTCTGCATGTGGCATAAAAATCTATCCAGAGTATCTCAGCCAGATGGCAGAAAAGCGAGCACTCTGCGATTTTCAAAAGGCGCACAATGCCATCAAGCAGTCAAAGTAAGCAATTGATGGCATTCTAACCGACATTACCTCATTATTGTCTTCGGCAGTGCTGATCTGGTAGCTGCTGTTAAGGAAGTTAGGAACGCTATGCCAGAGCTGCGAAAGCGATTAGACAAACTGGATCAGTCGGTGAATAGTCCATATATATCAAGTCTGGAAAGGATACTGCAAACCATTCAAGATGTTTACGATTACTTTTTTGAGGTGACGCGTAAGTACAAGACCTGGGAACAGCTCATCGATGCCGCCCAGGAGCATTCAGTCGACGATTATTTGGCCCTTCTACGCACTGAACAGAACTTCGAGAGTTTCAAACATGCCGGTACTGCACATTGCACCTGCAAGCGTTGCCAAAACAGGAATCCATTAGATCCATATTTGCCCTACTGGTGCCAGGGATGTGATCGTCACAAAAAAGACGTCAAACTGGTGCAGACCGAAGTTCTTTGCCACAAGAGTATTAAAGCTAAGCTTGATTCTAGCGACAGTAGCTATCTGGAGAAGCAAAGTGATACCTCACTGCTTCAGGCCGAATTGGAAAAGTTAAATGATGATTTAAATTAATTTAATCAGTCGAATTTATGAATTGACGTTTGGGAAAATATACGTGTCAATATTTTTCGTGACTCACGTTTCGGCCAATTGGTAACTTTCAGGGTGCACCCAGGTGCAGTCAAGCGGATTGGTTAGTGCTCCACCAACACTAAGTGGTTCGATTCGCACAAAGCCTGCGCATTGAACATAGGTTTTCTCACCTATGCTGCGCACAGTGAGTAGATCCTTGCGCGATTTAAATGGACCCTTTTTTGTGCGATGCTCAATGATCTTTTCAGCCTTCTTTTCGGACAAACCAGCAATGTGTCTGCAAACAGGTGTGCGTAGTAAAAGGATAAGTGATTTTCATTGATTATTGTAGTTTTTATAACCTACTTTAACACACTGAGACTCGCTGTATTTAGATCCACGCCCACAAAACTAACACACTCGGAGACAACGTCATTCAGTGTGTCCGTAAGCATTTTCTCATTTACATCATGCTGGTACATGCCCACGCCCAAGTGGCGTGGCTCAATCTTCACGTACTCACTTAGCGGATCATTGAGGCGCCGGGCAATAGATACTGAAATGTGTATTAAATGATATCGACAACATACTGGAAACTGATTTTATGAAAGAGCCAAACCTGCACTTATTAAGTTCATATCCATGTTGGGAAACTCTTTGGTTGCTACAGTACTGCAAGAGTAAATGGAAGCACCATTCTCATTTACAATGCTGTAACGAATGCTGCGACTGTCCAAAATGCCCGCTTGGAAGAGCGACGTCAGCCACATCTCTGTATCGCGGCAGGCAGTTCCATTGCCCAAAGCAATGACACGGCAACTATGACATAGTGAATAGAACATTAAATTCAAATAGCACAATTTTGAGCGTGAATTCTGATTACTTATGTTTGTTAAGGAGCTGTACCAGTACTTTTTCGGCTTCCTTTCGATTGGCATTTCGTCCATGCGGATAAATGACACCCGATTCCAGAACATCGGCTGTCTCGGATATAAGAGCCAATTTGCAGCCATTCGTGTAACCTGGATCAATGCCCAGAATGCGTTCACCTTTCAGAGGAGACATCAACAATAGTTGCTTCAAATTCTTCGCAAACACTTCTATTGCTGCCCTGATGGCCTTCTCCTTTAGCTTGGATCGAATCTGGCGACAGAGCAGAGGTTGTACTATCAAAAAGTATACAAATTATAGGTATTGCTTGTTGTTTTTTTTTCTTATGCAGCTTACATTTTTTAGTGTAGCACTCTTCCAGTGCACGAGTAAACACCTCTCTACGTAGAGGATACTGCAGGCCATGCGACATGTACTGCTCCGATATAAATCGCATGAGATCAGACTTTAAATAGTTGTTGGTCTCTACTTTAACTGTGAGAAATTTATGTTTCTCCCCGCGATTGATGGCCAATGTCTGATGCGGCTTGATTGTCTTAACATCACATTGAAAATTGAAATAATTCTCGAATTTTGAACTATCAAGCTTCTTGTCCGCAATGCCACCAGAAACAATTTTACTTTTACTCTCTTCCTTTGAGGCCGTCGTGCCCTTAGCTTTGAGGCATTTGAGTACAATTCGCTGTACATTTTGACTGACAATTAACAAACGAAACGTTAAAAACTGTTGTGATAGATATGTCGAGATGTTTGTTTGAACTTACAGGCGACGCAGTTCCTCGAGAACACTTGTGTTCTTACTTATGTTGTGTATAATAATGTTACAAATTCCGACCATTATTTGCTCCTCTGTTGCCAAATCCTTGTTGCTTGGATCAACAGCCGAGGACAGCTGCACCTTAGGCGCTGTTCCATAAAGTAAGGAATCGGCGTATTGCTCCAAGCCCAAAGCCTTCGCGCGCTCTGCCAAGGTGCCTTTGCTAGCCGGTTTGTATGGGGCATACAAAAATTCAAGTTCTTCGTTGGTCTTCGCACACATCAGTTCTTCTCGAATCTCCGTATTAATCATATTCTCTCTTTCTAGCTGATTAACAATGTTCTCCGCCTTCTTGCGCAGATCGACAATCTCCGAGTAAGTGTTCCGTATATCTCGCAAACGATCTGGTGTTATGTGATCCACAAGATCTCGTCGATAACTACGGGAACAAATGTTATTATATTATCAAAATCAAGGAGTATTGCTAATAATACCGGCAAATAAATGGAATGGTGTTTTCATTTTCAAAAAGTTGCACAATGTTGCGCGCTGCTGTCGGTTGTATATGCTCTGTTTCGGCTAAAAGTTCATGTATGTTCCACACTTTGCGTCGCTCCCAGAACGAGCTACGACCTGTGGTGGAACTGGACGCCGCCGGAAGTGGACTGTGCTCGCCCTCATCTTGAGGTAATGCAGTCGACAATGGTGGCTCCACTGATGTTTCACTAACATCATTAATTTGGTTGGGCAGGGCATTCTCTTTGTCCTGTTTTGCGCGTTTTTTCTTAGACTCTGATGCATCGTTTGCGGATGCATTACTTTTCGAATTGTTACCTCGTTTTCTGCTGGTGCTGCTGTTTATGTTTATATATTGTTTATTTAAAATATTTCATATGGGAAATTAAAATTATTTCAATATGGAAATACTTACGCGCCAGACGCTACAGCTGCTGCGGCACGATCTATGAAACGACGATGTGTCTCTCTTGGATTATATTCATCATTATCATTGGCCTCACTTGCATTATCTTCCGAGTCAGAGATCTCAATTACTATATTTCTTTTAGCTGCTAGACGGCGCGGTCTTGTGGACATTTTAGCGAAACGGTTAAGAAATAATGTGAACCTATGCCTTGCAGCTGTTGTTGTTATCGATATTCATTCGCGTCGTAGGAGCATTAGCATCGATAACCAATAACATTCTTGTACATAACGGCAGTGTTGCCAGTTTACCCTAGCCATTTGATAATAAATCCATTGAAAATTAGTATGGGATGAAATACCCATATTGTGCCAGTCTATGGAGAACTATGTATATAAAAGAAGAAACTGCTGTCCATGCCATCTAATAATTATAAATCTTAATTAATGTAAATAAGCTATCACAGTTTGTATCTCCGTCTGTGTATCTGTCTGCTTAACAACACCAAGATACGAAGCTGGAATGCTTGCAGCAGCAGAGAGTAGTCCCATTGGTGGGCCTAGATAGGTAACTACAAATTAATTGTTAAATATATTTTTAGTATGTTTTATTACATTTTTCATATAATCTGTTATTCAAGCATCTTTTATCCATAATCCAACTTATTTGGATAACGGCATAACAGCTGCAATAGTGGGTTTGAGCGTTCAGATTTGAGTTTCAACATTTTGGGCGTGGAAATTTCATTTGTCCGTTAATAAATAAGTGTATTCAAACGCTGCTTCGCTATCGAATATAATATAAGAATGGAGAAAAATGCAATGTACAGAAAAGTTAGCTTACTGTAACTGTAAAATTGTAGTCTCGGATTAGTTAATATTGATCACAGTAGGCTGTGTGCTAGCACACATCATATACATATATATAGTTGATTTCAGAATAGTACAGTAAAGTAGCAAATGTGAAAATTGTCGCACGTGAAATATTAGTAAATTTGGTGATACAATTGATGTCGGACGTATTTTCGATATTACTTTTTAATCTCTCCAGCCATATACATTTCAAAAGAAAAAATTGAAATTTGTGTTCTAAAATAATTCGCTTTGTAAACTCGGCCAGTGCAAGCTCTTGAGCGTTGCAATATGGCGTTCTCTACGCAGAAAGAATTCTTTCATGTGCCTTTTATGAACGAGACGCTTGATTTTGAATGCCAGAAAGCATGCGTCAAGTTAAAAACTTATCCATCTACATTCGATGATCGTTCTTGGGCAGCCGACGAGGACAAAAAGTCTCGTTTTGTCGCCGATCTGGTGGCTTGCAATACACCCTTTATGTGGCGCCCTGATGATGGAGATGGTGATGGGCAAACTGGCAGCAAAGCAGGAAAACCGAGTCAAAAGGGGCAGGACTCTAGTAAGGGTACGCACAGCACAGGTCCGAGTCAAGGAGGTTCCGGGGGAATAGGTACAGATCAGGATCAGGGAGATTTTGGAGAGGGTCGGGAACCTGACCAACCCACAAGTATGGGTGAGGGACCGTCTGAAGATACCGATCTGTTAGCTTCAGAAGGAGAACCAATAGGGCAGGACTCCCAGGGAAACGATCCGGAAGCCCAAAAAGCAACTGATGACAAAGATAATGAAGGAAGAGGTGGATCAAGTCATGGAAAAGACGGAGAATCCGAAAATGATCATCCATCTGCGGCAGCAAGAGGATTACAGCCTGATCAGGAGGGTAAAGGTAAAGGCGGTGCAAAATCACGACCTTGTGGACCGGATCGCTGTAAGGGTCCATGTACTGCAGACACTTGCCGCGGTTCGGGTGCTCCTGGTGAACGAGGTGGCCCACGACCTGATCAGGACGGTAGAGGATCTGACGATTACGGTAGCGGAGGTCCGGCTGTAAGACCTGGCGATCGTGGCGCGGAGGGAACTAGAGATCGTGGTCGAGGTCCGTCAGACGCACCTTGTAGTTGCTCTAAGCAGCGGTATGGTCCTGGTGGTCCAGGTCCAGGAGGCCCAGGAGGGCCAGGAGGTCCCGGAAGACCACCTGGTGGTCCGGGCCCTGGAGGCTATGGAGGTCCTGGTGGACCACCCGGTGGCTCGGGCCCCGGCGGCTATGGTGGCGGTGGTCCTGGTGGTCCTGGTGGTCCCGGTGGACCCGGTGGTTCGTGTCCATGTTCGGGAGGCTCTAGGGGCCCACCTGGTGGACCACCCGGTGGACCACCTGGCCCTGGAGGTCCTGGCAGGAATCGGCCTGAGGATGATGATTTAACAGGCGACAGTCTTCTAGTCGCTGCGAACGATACTATCGAAACCATGAAAAATGCAATGGTTAGCAACAAAATAATAGATAGGGATCCAACTGATCCTAAGACTACTCCTCCAATGAAAAATGCAGAAATCCAACGAATAATGCAACAACGTTATGATCCTGAAATAAGCAAAGCGTTTGATAACAAAATTAGAGAGCTGTCAGATGCTAAAAAGATAAATAGTGCCGATGAAAGAGATCTGCGGGATATCCAAAGGGCTATCGACGATATGAATAAGTCTCATGACATATTAGAAGCTGAAAATGGTAATCTTAGAAGAATACTTGAAAAGCAGTCAAGGCGTGCGGCGATGGATAGCATCAAAATTGATCCAGAAAGAAACAGCGATGTCCAATATTTACAAAATAAGATAAACAATTTAGGCAAGGAGTTGGCTATACTGCGGCAAGCTGAGGACGAATTTACAAGATCTGGGGCACAACGCGGTGGCAATCCTTGTAACGATGCAAACAGTGATGCCAATAGACTTCAAATCATGTTGGCTGACCGTGAGTCTCTCCGCAAAAAGATCAAGGCCTTGGGATCGCTCAACGATTTGTCTAGGGCTGCACAAAAGAAGGCTAGAGAGAGTGCTGAGCTAACTAAAACCGTCAACAACCAAAAGCGTTGTATATGTGACATGGAGAATGATATTCATGAAATGCAGCAGTACTATGAACATGAGGTCGAAAAAACCAAATACAATGAGGAAGTACTTAAGGTACGTTAATATACTTTAATGTGGCTGTATGTATTTGCAGTATACGACCTTTATTGGTTTCAGTGTCGCTGCAAAGAGCTCCAACAACAAGTGGTCACTCTCCAACCGGCGATGCAGCGAGCGGACACTATGCAAATGGAAATCGATGTTCTAAGAAGTGAGCTGCGAAAACGTGATTTGGCACTAAACGCCTACGATTGCCAATATCAGCAACTAATGGTAAGCATTTGTCATCGTATGGTGATGAATTTTATGTATCACCCCCTCTTGTCTCCCAAAGCATAAAACTAAAGCGTTCAAGAAATCTGGGTACCGTTACCTAGACGAACTAATAGAAAATTGCAATGATAGTTGTTTCAATGAGACTGGGAGAGAGGATAATGGAGATATTACATGTTGACGCCGTATCATATAATTTTACGTTCTGCCCCATACGACAATTCATGCTTAAATTCTGTAGTATATTTAAAAATTGAGAGTGCATATAATGAAATAGATACAGAAAAACAAAAACAATTGAAACATGAATGGTATGAGAGGAAAGTCGTCGGAAAGTACGTCTCTGGATTGTTAGCGGCTTAAACACATGTTTATTTCTCCCTTCCTCTTTCTCAAGCCCTTGCATACAGCTTCAATCCTCAACTACTTCCAATGATTTTCCTCTCTAATCCCTTGTTTTTTTTTTTGTTTTTTTTTTTGACACTCATTTTAGACTGTTATCTGTGAACTAAATCAAAGGTATGGAAGTCAAGCTTCTGAATGTCCTCCGTTTGATGAGCCACCAGATTGTCCCGATGTTGGTGATGACTTGGCCTTCTATACGAGTGCCACTCTGGAGCATATTATGAACGAAATGAGTAAACAGGCTGATTGCTTCAGGCAAATGAGCGAGGATAAGTATGACGGTGGTAAGGATATCAAAAATTTAGAAGACTGTGCATGTGAAATGGATCGCTTGAAGAATTTGTTAAAAGAAAAGGATAGTCAGTTGGGTGAACTGATAGAGGAGAATGAGTGCATGTGTGAAGCCGCTCTAGAAAGCAAAAAACGACTCAACGAATTGGATAAGAAAGTACAACAACTTGATGATGACACAAGATATATGGAGGAGGGTATGCGAGAGAGCATTGGATTAATACAAGATATTGGCGATGTTGCTAGAGAGAATGATAAACTGAAGGGTAAGGTTGATGACTTGAAAGCAAGTGATTTAATGAAACAGTTAGAGGATTGCTTAAAAAAGAAAGAGCAGTGCGAAGAAATCAATAACACTTTAAAATCAGCTTTGAGGGATCTTGGAGTGGATCCTGATAATCTTGCAAATGCATCAAAAAAAAAATCGGATGATCAGAAGAAAGCAGCAGAAGATGCTAAGAAAGCACAAGACGCTGCAAAAACAGCAGGAGACAAGTCCAGAGATTCAGCTGCCGATAAAAAAGGAGCTTCTGCCAGAGATTCAGCAGCCGGGAAAGCTGGTGCTAAGCCCGGTGATTCAACGTCCGGAAAACCTGGCGCCGGAGATTCGGCAGACGGAAAAGCTGGTGGTAAGGCCGGAGATTCAGCAGCCGGCAAATCTGGTGTTGATTCAACCTCTGGGAAACCTGGTGCAGATTCAGGAGCCGGGAAATCTGGTGCAGATTCAGCCGCCGGAAAATCTGGTGCTGATTCAGCAGCCGGAAAATCTGGAGCCGATTCAGCAGCCGGAAAACCTGGCGCTGGGACCGCAGATGCCGGAAAATCTGGAGCCGATTCAGCAGCTGGAAAGTCTGGTGCTACAGCCGGAGATTCAGCAGCCGGAAAATCTGGAGCTGCGGATGGAGATTCAGCAGCTGGAAAATCTGGTGCAGCGGCCGGAGATTCGGCAGCTGGAAAATCTGGTGCAGCGGCCGGAGATTCATCAGCCGGAAAGTCTGGTGGTGCTGCGGTTGGACAACAAGGCGCAAAGGGTGGAGCCGGAGACGATAAACAAGGTGCTGACGCGACCGCTCAAGGCCAAAAAGGAGGCGCTGGTACGGTTGGAAGGGGCTCGAAGTCCGCCGGGAAAAAGGGCAAAAGAGGAGAAGGCTCAAAACTGGATGATACCACTGAAGAGCAGTTCGACGAATTTGTTAAGAACACAGCGAAGACGTTGTCTGCCGGCGAGATCGATGGCGTTAGCTTGGAAAGGGAGTTACGCAAAATTTTGGATATGTTTATTGATGAGTGTGGATTTTGTTTCTGCAAATGCAATATTCCGAAAAGCCGCTTTTATGCTATATGCCATAAACTCTACCATCATGGGCTGCACACATTGGATTTTAAGGACCTGGCCTATATGCACAAGCGTATCTTTGCTGCGGCAGAGAACATTCTGCCTGGATGCCTGTTTAATATGATAATGAAGGATATAATGTCCTGTAATCCACAAAGCCTCGTGCCATCAACAGCTGTTCAAAAAAAGCAGTGCTGCACTTGCAAGAGCTCACTATGCTGCGATGACACTGAAGACAAACTTATGTTAAAAGGTTCGTTATATTATTATCTATATTTATCTCTATCATTACTTGCTGTTGTTTTTTATTGATTTAGTAATGCGTCTGGAAAACGACATTGAGAATGCCAAGGTGTGCTTAAAGAATCTAAAAAGCATTCCATCTAATCTTTCTATACATGATTACCGCATTGAAGGTGGCGATTGTCCTGCAAAGTAAGTTGATAGGAAAGCAAACTTCGGTCGGCAAATATTAATAAAGCTTCACGATTTGCAGGGATCGCGTTTTACGTTCTACTCGTGGGGGAAATTCGATCACCATTTACAAAGAAATTAAGCAAGCACGACGTGTTAAGGTAAATCTTATCATACTTACACTTTACGTATATAAAACAATTTTTTTTTAAATTATAAATTTCAGAAAGGACTTAGCACAAACAATTAATTATGTTTTTGTTCTTGTCTTTTGTACACATTGGGTTGGATTAAAGTAATACGTCCGATTAAACGTTAGCAAATGAAAATCCAACCATTAAATTCGTTGTGTATATTTCATTTTTAAATGAACAATTTAAATAAATATGTTTAAATCGATAATCAAGTGTACTCGATGTAAATATGGGCTAAGGTATCGATAGTTTGCCGGTTAACAGCTGATCCGCTTATATCGATAGCTGATTGTATAAGCATGCAGTAAGCATTTAAGTTCCGTGGTTTTAGAAATACGAGAGTCGAGTTAGCCATGGAAAAACTAGTATGCGCCAGTAAGAAACTCATCCAGATGCAGGTGGGACTGAAAAGGATACTCAGGTGCTGCTAGGTTTCACCACAGTTATTGTTTTCACTAAAATTTCAGATGCCGCGGGTTGCAACGTCTGGAGTGCGTGCGCTGCTTCCGGGCTTACAAAATGTGTGTCAATTGCAGCAGGTGCGCCATCGACAAACTAAACACTGGAAGCCCGAGTTTAAAAGGTTGCGCAAGCTAAAGTTTGTGAAAATTGACTTGCCTAATTTACGCGAGAAACCTGAAGACGTGAGCAAGGAGGAGATGCGTAGCCGTATGAAAGAACGTGGTGTATTGCCCCCCCGCCCATGGATGGAACGTCCGTTTCACATCAGTTGCACGGGTGGAATATTTGAGGCATACGTACCCCCCGAAGGGGATGGCAAGAAGTCTATCATATCCTCTTCGGGCGCTAAGCAGAAACTAGAATTTCTCGAGAAGAAATCGAAGAGCCTTATGGCCGTACGAAAAATACGCTCTTACGAGGAGAATTTCAGTACCGATGACTTTGGCGCACAAGCCCAAGAGATCTACATAGCAGCGCATACACATATGGCAGCAAAGGAGAAGTATAAGATAAGAGAGTTTGTGAGCGAACGCTGTTATCCTGAAATGATGCACAATGTCAAGGATAAGACAATACATTGGCGTTTCCTGCAATCGTTGGAGCCACCTCGTGTGGTGCATGCGCGCGTCACGGAAGTGATCACTAAGGAAAATCAGTTTGCCCAGGTCACAGTCCGCTTTCACACCCAACAAATGCTGGCTATATACGATCGATTTGGTCGACTGGTGCATGGTAGTGAGATTCTTAGTAAGGATGTACTGGAGTATGTTGTGTTTGAAAAACACATTTCCAATGAGTACGGGAAATGGCGATTACACGACAAGATCATTCCCGATTGGCTACCAGCAAAGCAACCAGCACCCATTACGTATCGTATCACTGACGAAATTGTTGAGGAAACGACGAAAGAGCTTAGCGCAGATGACCAGCCAAAGCAATTGGAATCCACCACAAATCAACAGGCGGAACAGCTTAAAATGAGCAGCGCCCAAGTAACACCTACAACTCAGACGATTGAGCAGGGCGCTAAACCCACTCTGTCCATTTGATTGTACTTTCTGTGGGCTGCCTGGCGGCTCAGAAGACTTCGCGTTGAAATTGTACAATAACGTTAATCGAAACTTCATAAAACCTATTTTTGTTTCTTTTTTATTTAACTTTTTGTAATCATCTTCGAAATTTTGCAAATGGTATTCGGTATTTGGGTCCATGCGAAAAGTAGTACAACTTTGTTTACAATAGCCATTTAGAGGGCAAGCATCGATTACTGAGGAAGCCATTATCATTATTTCAGGCCGTTGTGGAGCAAACATGCAAATGTCTGAAAAAGTAATATAAATTTCATCATTGAATTATTAGTTAAGTAACTAATTTGAAAAACCAACTAATAGCAATATAAGAGCTACGATAAACTGAATCTTAGATTTTGAATGATAAGTTGGGCAAAAAACATGTGTTTCTTTATATATGGATTAACCGTGAAAAACAATTTAATTGAAATGTGTTTTAGCTTGATTGGGTTAAGGATTGCGCAAAATTATCCATATATGTAGTATTTGTACCGAGAAAAGCCGCTTTGTGAAATTTTTTCTAATCTTAAAAAGCCGTCAATGATTTTAAAAAATTTAGAAAAATTAAAACGGTATCCTGCGGTAGTTTTTATTAGCATTTGCTTAAAATTGTTAAAAATTTTAAATTTATATCGTTGAAATATGTAAATTAATGATTCGGTTTTCTAACATCTTTAACACACCTGCATATTACTTATATGTCGTGCATATACAATGGGACATGGGACTATTTGAAGGTAGAAGATACCAAAAATAAGTTGTGTAGAAAGCTATATAAATATATAATCAGTTGTAAAGCTGTTCATATAATATGCGGTGCATTTGGTAGTTGGAAAGCGTCAGAACAAAAAAAAAAGTGTACGTTTAAATAGAAATGTTTATTTATTTATTCAAACTTATAATAACGTGCACCTAATTATAAATATGATAAGCTTGTGAAGCAGCTGTGTGCCGCTTGTCAGATATCCTTGTGATGGGCACTTACTTCTAAAACACTTTTCATAGAATACAAATATTAATAAATATATATATAAAAGTATGTACAATGATCAGTCGTAGATCGATAAGTAGCCTTAGGGTTAAACAAAGCTGCTGCTGGGCTCATCAAGATACGCACATCGTGTGCCTGGCTGCTCCAGCGATTTGCGTGCTATGTCCAGCGGTAGCTTAGTAGCAAAGGACAAAGCTGTGGCTGTTGCTGACGGTGACGTGCTCGTCGTCGTGGAAGCCGACGTCAATGCGGGTGCGTGATTGGCGGGCGAGAATTTATTGCTGTAGCTCCCATTGGGCGGAGCATTGGCCACGCCCCAATTCGATGGCTTTATGGGCAACACCTTTGGCTTGGGCGGCAATGGTGGCGGTGCTTTAGCGAATTCCTGTAAATCCTGCTGGTCAATGGACGCTGACGCTGACGTTGTCGGTGCCACTGCCATTGTCGGCAAATCTGTATCCACCTCAGGATCCACTTTCATGGGTGACTGTTGGCTACGTGTAATGGAGAGGCGTGGCGCTGGTTGAGGCGCATCCGTTCCGCTGCTGCTGCTGACCTTGTTAACGGGGCTCAAATTGGCGCGCACCTTGCGTAATTTGGAGGCAGCCGCATTCAGATTCTCTTTGTTCTTCAAAAAGTCGGGCAAATCAAAATTAATCTCAGTGCCCCGTTGATCCTCCAGGCGCGCCAGCTGTGCTCGCTTCAAGCCTTCGAGTAGTTCATCTGCAAATTATGAAATTTCAGTATTAGTCAAACACATGAAGATCCCAAAGCGTTCGTCCATACTCACCCTGGTGTTCTGCTACTCGCTCCGTGCACTGCAACTTGACGCCCGCCTTGAGTTTGGCTATGATGGGTTTCTTGGGATCGACATGGGGCATTATCGTTGCTGCAGCGGCTGCGGCTGCGGTTGCGGTTGCCTCCTCGGAATGTTGACTGCTCGTGGATTTCTTTTTGAGCTTGGGCAGCTTGCTGCCTGGAATGTTGCTATTGTCGCGCTGTTGCCGTCGCATGCGATCGAACAGCGTGGAGGAGCTCTCCGAGGGGGCTTCATTCGACTTCATGGAGCACAGATCGGTTGGCTTTTGGGTCGGCGCTGCTGCAGCATCCGATTTACTCTGCAGAAGCTCATTGAATACCTTGTTGGTGAGCTCGTCCAGCTGACCCTGCGTCGGATCCGTCGTCACCAGCGCGGGTAGCGGTTTCATTGGTTTACTATGCTTCGGCGGCATATTACTGCCGCCGCCTTGCTGAAAATCCGGCTGGATCAGTACTATTTGAAGCCGCTGCCCATCGGCCACTGTGACGGGCTGCATCAGATCAAGCGGGGCTTGAGTATCTCGCACCAACACCTGCACGCTCTCCATTCGATAGTTGTATTTGTTCAATATAGGCCGGATTACCTCGTGCAGTTGCTTCTTGGGCTTGCTCTTGACCGATATGACCTTGGGATCGGGCAAATCCAGCTTGAAGGCCACCCGACGTTCGATTAGCACCTCTTTGCCAGCCAGCAACTTTGAGGACTGCTGCGTGTCTATAGACTTGCTACTGCCCTGGATTACAACATCATAATGGGGATAGACGAGGTTGCGTTTTTCCAGTAGACGCTCCACTAGTTGGGCGACTGTCTCTCCGGGACGGGTCTGCACAATAGTTGTGGCTCCGTCAGTGAGTATGACCCGACACAAGGAGCAAACGTTGTCCGCGCTAAAGCCCTGTCCGGCCTGGTTCGCATCGAAAGATGACAACGAAGAGCGGGAACTGTGTAAATCGCTCACCGAGCCGCCAGACAGCAACGTTAATAGCGGCGCTGGCACCCCTGTGGTTGTTGAGCTTGGTGCTTGCGGTGGGGGCATCAACGTTTGTTGGAGATCGGCAATTATTTCGTTGCGATCACGGGATTTGCTCCGCGTCTTACGGTGCCAGGGCAATAGACTCTTACGTCGCCGATCCTCGGCATTGCTTGCGGACTTCTTGAGCTGAAAAGGCGATCAAAGTATTAATGACAAAAGCCAAACCAGGAAATAAGTTCAATTGCTTACCTTGGGCGAGGCCACTACGTGAAAATTTGTCTTCAACAGTTCATCCAGATCGGCACCCGTATAGGGTAATGTCTGCTGCTTCTGCTCTGCCTCAACGCAGCTCTTATACAGGTCGGAGCGTATGAAGCGCTGATAGCTATCGAATTTCATTAGGTTGAAGATTTGCTTTTGCGACGCGGCAAAAATGTCCGTATCGCCGCTTGCCAACTTCTCGTCGCTTAGATTACGCGCCTGCGAGTCCACGTTAACCGGATCGCTGCTGTTGTTGGACAAATGTTTGTTGAAGATCTCCCTGGCCATGGTTACGCGCTCTGACTCCGATTCCGTGCACCTGTAGCGCTCGCAGGCGGTCCAGAAGTAGATATTCTCGGCAGAGAATTCCTTTTTCAGAAACTCCGCAAAGGTCTGCATGCCGGCGGCATCCTGCAGCATGCGCTCGAACGATGTGCCCCAGCTGCTGGGACCCTTCTGCTCTGGCGCCGCCAGCTCCTGCGTGGACTCTCCACCGGTTGCCTTTACCATCACGCTGGACGGCGGCGCCGGTGTGGTAAGTATTTGTGGCACCTGGAAAGGTCCCAACTGCTGCGACTGCTTCGCCGACTTGAGCTCGTCCAGCATGAGCGTCTTAATGTACACATCGTTGTCGGAGGCGGTCATCGAGGCTGAGCGTCGCACTATTGGACTGTTGCCAGACCCCCCTGCTTTGGCCACCTTGTCGGTGCGCGTCGTGCGAAACGATGATTGACCCCAGGCTCGACGAAAGGGCGAGGCATTGGACGGCAGTGCGCGATTCTAAAATGAAAGTGAATAATATATATATTATATATAATGGTGACACTTTTTTTGGGAAATAAGTACATGCATCAGAAGTTGGTAAATAGAAACTTAGGCCCTGCTTCATTTTCTAGATAATATAATTTTCGGATATGTTCGGATTGATGTTTCAGCACTTCGCCTATCTCTTACAACAATTTTTATTATATCCCGTACAACTTAATTTTGACCGCTCTCAGCTGCATTCAAAGTGTGTTCATAGCCATCTTGGAGTTCAAGCACCCCCTACGACAAGTTCATTTTCAGGGGCATTTCACAAGTACAAATTGAGGGAATGTAGAAATGAGGGACAGACTGCCCGATCACGTCTGTCATTATCACGGCCAAGCCCTAAACAGACAGCACGATAAACTTTTGAACTTTTAGAAGTTTTACATGTAAGTTTATGTGCGTGAGTATACATATGTGTAGGAGTATGTGTGCGAGTGTGTGTGACGCGTGTAAGAACAGCCGCAGTTGGCGGCCGTTGGCAACTATTGCCCTGTCTACCCCAGTGTATTCTACTACTCTAATTGTGTGAACAAATTGTAAAGCTAGGCAAGGCACATACATATGTATCTGCATATATGTACGTACATATATAGATATGTATGTATGTGTCTCTCTGTATATTGTGATGAGTGTCGTTTGTGGGACTGCCTGCCTCCACTGCCTGCACTGCCGCCTGCCTGCCTGCCTGCTTGCCTGCTGGGCTGTCCAATCCATTTGCTGCACTTTGCTGATAATCACTTTTGTCAGACAAACTCGAAGCAGTTGCCGTCGCTATTTATACATAATTTCCAACATATATCTGTTTGTGTTCATGTTTATTTCTCGATTGTATTCTATACCCACACGGTTCCCATAAGAATGGGTTTAAATAGTACTACAATAAACAGTTGCAAATGCTGGTTACAGAGAAATGTTTAGAGAAATTCATACAAAAAAGTCGAGATTCATACTATTTATAAACTATTATCACTAATTTAATCTCTCTAAATACAGATCTCCATACATGTGGAAGATAAAGCAATTCATTTCATTTCATTTCAATTAGTGTCATAATTTTCTCCATTTCATAGGCTGCTTAAAAGCCAATAGCCATAGGGTATACTCCACTCCAGCTCTTGCTCTATATTTAATGATGCTTTTGTTGCCAGAGATTAATGAATTCTGTGTCTAAGCTCGAGTTTCGCATTGACCAAACGTAAGCCACAAAATATTTTTACCCATATCTATTCATCAATATATACATATAAAACTAGTTGTTGTGTGTGAGAGAGAAATTTGGAAACATTTCCGGCTGGCAAAGTCGACCATAAAGGGGCAAAGCCAATTCTCATGCGACTCGACTTCATTAATAGAAACCAATTGGTTCGACTCGGCTCGTGTGAGATGAGACTTTGAAATTGAACAATTGCCAGTCACGCCAGCAAATGAAAGCGCTCCAGAGATCTTCCCGAAGAGAGATATGCCAAGGAAATGTCCAATAGCAGCTGGAAACATCATGGAATATCATATGGAAGACGAAATATACTTTGCTTAGTTTCAATTCAAATCTAGTTAGTCTATAGTATGTGAGATACATATGTATAATATATATCCATGGTGTTGTTAAATTATTATCGGTTCTGTGCTCGCTTAAAAACAATTAAAACGAATACTCTAACCTTGAGGCAAGTATAGATCTCAAGTATTACCTAACCAAAACTTTTCCAGCATTCATTTAATTGTTTTGATTAAACCCTGAATCCGTTGAAAGTGGGAGTGGTATAATTTCACTAAAAATGAATACAGCTGGAGTTGCAATTTCCTGTAATTAAACTTTTTAACTCCTAGAGCTAAATTAATAACTGCAATCTACATATGTTTTTCGCAGTGTATGTCATTATTTTCAAGTGTTTTTCAAGAGGCTTCTGAAATGTTTTCATGTTTGACAGATATTATAAAGAAAAAAAAAAAAAAAGAAGATATTTCACAACAAAAGCTTGAATTGCATAAAGATAAAAGCTTAAGTATTATGTCTTATCACATACACTTGTATATAAGCTATGTATGTATATATGTGTGTATATAGAATGTACACATACATTTGTACATAGGAATTGGGTCAAAAAAAAGAGCAGAATGTGCCGACCCCACAAAACCAAATGCACAACTTTAAAGGGGCAGAGGGTATGGAAAGCAGAAAAGCAGCGAGTGGGGTCAAATGTGTTAAAGCAGCAACAGCCAGCAGTCGAAAGAGACAGAGAATCAGTGTGTGAGAGAGAGCGAGAGAGAAGCAAACGAACATAAATCAACGCTGATTGCCAAACAATAGCAACAAAGGGGCATAGGCAGCGTGGAAGGTGGGAGGGACGAGGCGTGCGGAGGGCGAGCATCGCATGTTGTTGCTCTCTATTGTGGCGGCAACATTTAGCGGCAATCGGCAACGAGTGACGCGTAATTGTAAGTAGGAAATGAGCAATTTGCCAAAGTGAATAATTAAAAATAAATAAATGACACAAAAAAATATTACAAAAAAAAAAAAAAAAAAATCAAAAGAAAATTGAAAAATTAGCGAAGCAAAGCGAAAGCCAAAGCTGAGCAACAATTCAAATTGCTACACACACACACGTGCACACTTAAAAACAGGTGGAATAATGAAGTAATAATGCCACGCCCCGCGCCTCTTTTCCTTGAGTGTTTTGCATGCGCGAGTGGACACTGAACATGGACAGTATTTTTTCCCCATTGCCGGCCACAATTTACAACTGTGGCTGCCTCCTCATATTGAAGTCATCAGCAGCAACACGCCCTGCCACAAATTGTGGCATGGAAGTCATTGTGCTGAGTCTCGAAGATGTCTCGATGCGAAAGCCACAAACGGAAAGGCAAAAAAGAAAAAAAAAAAAAAAAAATGATACGTATAACAGAAAATAAACAAAATCCCACGAGTAAATTAACTTGAATGGCTTTAGCTCAGGTTACCGATCCAGCTGAAATCATGTCTATATAGCTTAATCTGCAGCGTCAAAGCATGAGCTAATGCGCTGCCATCAAGTCATACGATCCCATCGGCCAGTATCAAGTACTGCCAACACAGTGAAAGAAAATACACTGACTTTAAATCGAAACCATATTTAGCAGTTTAACATTCGTTAGCTCTAATTCTGATTGTTATTTGAAGTAAAGCTGCTTAGAGAGCAGTTAAAAATAATATATGTATATTTCCTGTTTAGTATTATTAAGCTACTTAAAAATATCAGTAAGCTTTTTTTTTTTTTACTGTGCACAAGCCTGGCGCTTATTTTGTGAAACCCTTTTGGTAATTGTAGCCGGCTCCTGGCTAGCGAAAAGTCGAGCGAAAATTCTTGACGGTCTGCTGAGCGAGACGTGAAATTGAGATTGTAAACGGTCTACGGCATTGTGAAGCAGTTTCCTGGCTTAATAACTATGCAAATGATTCATCATAATTAAGTGTGGGGCCTGTTTCGGGTTACTTCAAAGCAGACAAATCTGATAAGCCGCTTTAACTGAAGCCAGCTGAAATCTAAAACCTAGAAACAGAATCTGAAAGATACATCACGTACTTCTTTTTTGGCAAAGAGCCAAGAAAGAACACGCATATCAATTTCTTGGAGAAAAACCAAGAAGTGTGTGACAACAAAAATGTACATCTGTATGTATATCCATATATTCCGATATTGAATAATATCTCATCCCAACATTTGTAAGATATAATTCCCAGAAGCGCGACACAGTTTCTCCGAAGTGCTGATAAATCATGACTTCAAAAATAAACAAAAAGCGATTAGAATTTCGAATATCTTATCTTGGAACGGCCCATTGTCAATTGTCGAGGAAGAGAGCAACGGGCATAAGCGAAAGGGGGCGGAGATCACAGTTCTCGGTGTTAAGTGCTGAGTGGGCGTTTCGCAATTACTTTATGCTAAAGGGAGAGCACAAGCATACACAGTCAAACATACATACATGCACACTCCATACAGATTCGCATGCATTCATATACATAAACTGCTCGTTACGCATGCTAATGACAAAAACTAACTAACCATAGTTGGCTGTCGACGCTGTGAAACCTACCAGCAGACGCAGACGCAAATGCAGTTGCAGTTTCTGTTGCGTGCTTTGTTTTCGATTTCAATTGTTTTTTCTTTTTCGATAATTTTTGGTATTCCCAAGGCGTGTCATCGCTTTGCGAAATTTTCGCTGTTCTGCTTGTGTGTTAGTAAGCGTGTGTGTGTGTGAGTGAGAAAGCGCAAACGTGCCGCTTTTGTCAACAAAACACAATCTTAACTGTGCACTTTTGCTTCACTTTCGGTTGCTATTTGTTATTGCTATTTGGCACTGGCTTTATAATTACTTTTTTCTGGAATTTTTTTGTTCACACACTTCGATTGCGGCCCGCTCTCTCACACGCTGTTCAAGTGCCGAGTTTCGAATCTCTGACTCGTAGCCCCAACGTGTATAAAGTAACTGACATCGTCAGTTGTTGTGCTCAGCCAGCTGCTGATCGGACGCACGCACATATACGTACATACATACATATCTACATTATTGTATATGCACTGAGCATTTGATTGTTGGATCCAACCCAATCCAACACAACATAAGCCTCAGCGAACACACAGTAGACATGTTGCGACTGGGCGCTGGTTGGATCGATCCAGAAATTGGTTCGAAGTACTGAAGCAAAGAAAATTGCACCACTAGGGTGCAGGGGTGTCATTTTAGCTTTTTTCCCGTCAGATCTGGCTTTATTTGAAGTCCCAATGCGGGAAAAATTTGAAAACGGCGGGTTGCGGGAATTCAGGCTTTAAAAAAATTAATTTAGCTCTATTTTAGCTTTATTTAATTTTCACGATTTATTTTGCTTTTTATCTTTCTCAACACTAAAAATCATGAATACAAGTATCGATACATGATTTTATATCATACAATCTATCGAAATCATTTCGTGGTATGAGCAACAGGTCTTC